TACAGGAATGGATAGGAAGCTTCTTATGTGACCGCAGACAGAGAGTGAGGGTCAATGGAACTCTATCCGAATGGAAACCGGTCAAAAGTGGTGTACCCCAAGGCACCATCTTAGGCTCTTTACTTTTCCTTCTGTATATTAATGAACTACCTTTATTACTTAAGTCGTCGACGTTATTGTTTGCGGATGATGTTAAAATCTGGAGAACAATAAGAAATGAGACTGATCGTTGTTATCTGCAAGCAGATTTAGACGAATTAGTTAGGTGGGCTCATGATTGGGGCCTGGAAGTTAATTCCAGGAAGAGCGTGTTCATGCACATCGGGCACGATATTAGTTACCATTATACCATTAATGGTACATCTCTGCCACGCGTTCATGAGCACAAAGACTTAGGAGTAATTATAAGTCACGACTTAAAAACTACTACACACTGCAATACGGTTGCTTCCAAAGGCTATCGCGCGCTATGGTCGCTTCGCAGAGCATTCAAATGCTTTGGCGAGGATATGTTTCGAATTTTATATCCCACCTATGTAAGGCCACACTTAGAATACTGTATCCAAGCAGCTAGCCCTTGTCTGATAAAGGATACTAAATCGCTTGAGCGTGTCCAGCGTGTAGGGACAAAATTAGTAAAGGGTCTTTCTAAACTCCCTTACGATGAGCGTTTAAAACGTCTAAATCTTTTCTCCTTATCTTATCGTAGGACGCGAGGTGACCTTATACTGGCATTTCGTATCTTTAATTATGATCTGGGTGTTAATATGTCTTATCTTTTTGCTCCCTCCAGCACTAATAATCTCCGGGGTCATAGCAAGAAGGTTCTGAAACCGCGATATAATAAACTAAAGGTGGGGTCCCGTTTTTCTCATCGAGTGGTCAATGACTGGAACGTTTTACCAGGACAAGTGGTATCAGCACCATCAGTGAACATTTTCAAAAAGAAGCTGAACCTTCACTGGAAGGAAATCTGTCAGGATTAACACAGGTTCATCAACCTACTATCCTTATTACTGAAGACTGAAGACTGAGGTCATAAAAAAGCTCAGAGAATAAATTTATTAGCCACGTCTTGATTTCAGTTAGCTATACTGTAGTCATCCAAATTTTTAACCAACCCACTTTTTCACCAGAGGCCGGCTTGGATTTTCTGCAAAAACTGTGTTCATGACGTCATAAATAAGTCGGTTTTTAGTTAATTAAATATTCTACTTATTACCTGATTCATACAGCATTTTTAATGGCCCGTCGATCTGACTCCAATTTGTCCGTAAGATGATGTAAACGAAATATACACTCCGGCTACTCCCGTATATTATCAAAGACTTAATCAGCGTTAGATAACAAAACAAGTCAAGTGAGATGATAAATTCTGGATACGTACATTTCATACACTCGTTGCCACAGACAGACAATAACATAAACGAATTGGAGAAGCAGACCGGAGAAGATAAACATGCTAAATTGCAATACTATTCATTACAAACGTTAATATTGATCAGAAGAGGCAATGTATAGCGAGAAAAAGAAACGAAAACGGAATAGAACAATGAATAACAGACAAACAAGTACACACAAGACGCATGAAAGTATAGATATAAGGACACAAAGATAAAACGTGAACGAATGCTTATGTCATAACTCCGTATAGAATCGAAAACGTTATTGTGAAAAAGTGACCCTAAAGCCATATGCTGTCTAAGTTACTCAGATCTGTTTAAAACCAGGATGAGTCATCTATAAATATTGGTACCAGACACTACACATTTAACATTTATATCTCTATTTCATGCGAATAAAAACACTCTCCAGGTATATTGATACATTTAAGGCGAAAGCCTATTCATAATAACTGTAAGCAAGATACTACTATCATCATTTTATTAACTAAGCGTCAACTGGCAAATCGGTCGTGTAAATAGTTTCAACAGAACGCATTCATTACAACTTACTTTCACATATTGACTTGTAATAAGTGTGTCTGCATTTGATGCACTTATACCATGTAGGGGTACAATTAAATCTACGTCGGAAAGATTTTCACACCAACGAAAATTTGTAATGTTAATTAGCATTTTTGAACTTCGTGAAAAGCGATACTATGGTGATTTATTCAATCCTCAATGACTCCATCCAATATCCAATATCTTCGTCATGAACTGGTATAGACAGAATTACTCTTTTTTCTTCTTTTCTTATTGTTTAAACATGACTCCAGCCATTTTGCATTATTCAGTTGATGGCAGTCTGAGCACCAACTGCATTAGATCTAATCACTTTGGTAGTTGTATGGTGAATGATAATTTAAATACTAAGTGAATATGATTGTTACGAGAATAGACAAATAATTCACCCGATTAGTAATCTGTAAGGAGATGGAATTGAAGGGATGGGAATGTAATGGACATGATAATAACAGACATAGGAATTAGTCATGATATGATGTTTTGACATCGTGGTAATTTATGAGACATGCACTAGACACAACTGGTCCAAGGGGCGTGATAATCGATGGCTGAGTACGTATTTTTCAAGTTTCGTCTTGAAGCTTCCCACTGGATAGATCGTGGTCACTTCGTTTGGGTGTTCTCTCTTTCATGTTTCATACTCCGATGGATGCCTCGAGGAGCGTCGTAATTATGTCCTGGTTATAGGCTCCTTTTGCAGTTGATTGACGTGTATATTAGGCTATATGCAACTATCAAATCATCTCTTATTCTCCTGAAGGATACTAAGAATAACCTAAAGTGCTGAAGTCTGTCTTCGTCAGATTTAGGTTTTAGTCCCATCATCCACTTGGTAGACCATCTGTGTACATGGTCTGAGATTTATGCCGCTTTTGAAGAGGGGCACGCAAAGACACTGCGGACTTTAAGGTGGGGCCATGAATATGTTTTGACGAATTAAAAGTAAATAAATTGATTATTGAGTCCACATAATCAAATTTTGATATTCAATCATGGACTTTTCACATCCAGTACTATAGCAACTATCCTACAATCGATTTCCAGTATGGTCAACTTGGGTCAACCCTTTTTATTAACTTACCTAACAGACATCGTAATTTGGTTGATAACAATTTGCACATTCGTTGTACTGTTATTACCACTAGAGCACTTGACACTATAGTCAAAACGTTGATTGCTTATGTATCATTCGATGACTCATACTCCCCCTCATATACGTATGCACGCAAATCCTATTATCAGCCTTTGTTTTGTTTTGCTGTGCCCTTATTCAATTTGACTATAATTGCTTGCTCGCTCACTGCTCACTGCTCGTTGATATTTGCTCATATGCTTGTAACTTTCTGGCCTGAGTTATTTGACAATAAACTGTAGTTGCCGCTTCTCTTTGCCTTCTGATTTTATGCACTGTTAAGACTGGTATTATATCGGTTATCAAGATGATCGATCAACGAAGAACGGCACTACAGTACAAAAGCCCTGGTATAATACGTCTGATGGTGGTTAAGTAGTGACCTGTGAGAAATTTCGGTAGTCAAACAGAAATAATGGATGTAACCAAATCACGACCGAAGAATCTCCCATAATTTTATGTCCGACATGCTCTCATATTTTTAGATTTGGTTTACTTCTTAAACTGGACTACAAAAACAACGTGTTCAATTAGCTTCGCTTTATCCTTAGTTTTATTATGTCTGATAATGTTTGAGAGGTATGTTTTCTGTACGTACATACATATGTCCATATGAGTTTATTAAAAGCCTACATAATAATATATCGTTTTGAGTACATCGCAGGCAAAATCATACAAAGACATTTAAGGTTTAACGGCTTCTAACAGATTTTCGTTATACACAGTTCACTGTCTATCATTTGGATCCAAACCAAGTATGACGTTAGCAATACTTGTGATCTATGAATAAGTATTATTTCGTGACATTTTCTTAGATAGTTTCATCAAATCAGAACAAGATATTTGCTTTTTAGCAGCATGCTCAGTTATCGAGTCAGATGACGTTAAAGGAAGTGCAAAACACGCTTTGTTGCTGAATGATTGTAATCTTTTATGCAGGATTGTGGATGCGCATTGATGGGGACTCCCATACTAGGACAAAACGGTCTCCAGAGCTATCATGTTTCCAGTGGTAGTCTAGCTTAGATCGACTCATGAATCCATCTACTAAACTTACAGAACTATCTGTTTTGGGGATTTATTGACCGCTACAATAGCCGAAATAGAAGTTACTAATTAAGGGGTTTGAAGACATATTTTTGATACTGTCGATATGCAGAGAAGTATATGAGATAAGCTAATTTGTTGGTGTGAGGAATGAGTGGCACGTTTTACCCGATACAATGTCAACCCTCAATTAACTGTTGAATTCACCACGATGAGTGGAATTAAGGGTTAGATTATTTTTATTGGATGCTACTGAATGCACAGGAGAAGAACTAATCACCAAGACTTGACTTCAAAGAAATCAGTTGATGTACAGCTAGTAGTCAGGTGAACGTATCCAACATCGAGCCCACGAAATCAGTTCTGGGACTCAAGTTCAAACATTAGGAAAAGCGCCTCCAATCACTTAAACTTCACTTGTTGGAGTACAGGCGTCGTAGAGGTAACCTTCTTATTATGACTTACAGTATTCTTAACACTTCTGGACATCCTCTTAAACATCTCAAGCTTAGTTACAACACTAACGTAAGAGGTAACACCGAGAAATTGGAGACCCAACAACTCTGTAAAAGTTGTAGAATGCTGGAATTCGATGCCGACTGAGCTAGTCCAAGAAACTTCCCAGGAGTCATTCTAGAGGAAACTTGACCTATTCTCAAAGACTAAAGATAACATATTATTATGATTTACCAAATTCTTTCTTCCTCTATTATCGTTAATATACCTAGGTTCTTGCCTGGAGGTATTGGTGATCAACTGCTACTAGACACGGAAGCCCGTTAAGCGAAAGCTTCTTCTATTCTGTCCTCAACCATTTGAACCGTTTGAATATTGGACACAGAAGGCAGTAGGTTGATATTACAGATCCTTGGTATTGGCGGGTTAATAGATGAGGTTAGGTCTTCTGGTTTTTTATTTCGGAAGTACATTCCAACGAACAGGTCTAATGGCCCTTGTAGATGTATTATGAGGACTTAATATTCAGTACCGTAGACTGGTAATACGCACGGAATTTTTTAATACAGAAAAACTATTACTAGTACATAAGATTAATTAACTTAGGTACTTGATACGATTAGTCGAAGTTCTTGGGTCTAGTTAAGTGTAGATACCCAGTTCATTTGATGCCCTAGCCACGAAAACTTTAGAACTGCTCTGGTTAGACTCTTCAGGATTGAGAATTTGCAAGGGATTCAATCTTGGTCGAAACTAGTTGATGAGCTCATGAACTCAACAGGCTGAATGAAGTGATGCAAAAACTAGTTAGCCAAAAGTGTTGGTAATCGCGTCGTTTAACAGTTGGTAACTGTATAAAAGTATGGATGTCTAGTGAAAACATAATAATCATCTGGATGTAGTTTGACAGCCAAAGATGAAGATTAACCAAGTCAGTAGAAAACTTATTAGTCGTAGCTAGTCAAATACTCGGAACGATTGTTCAGTTCTTGCTCACCAATACTCTACCGCCTGATAAGATTAGCAGTGATGGCTAAACCAGTATACTGGGGAATATCTCTTAGTGACAAGTGCTCAATAGGGGATTTACTGCTAGTTCATCCTATCATTAGGAAGGTTTCATATGACGTACCTAGTAGTAAGCCTGCTAATTGTCTAGATCGTACACAAATGAAGTATATTACATATTTGAATTTCATTTCGGTTATAAAGTTATGTTGCTCTGGCTCACTCCTAGTCCGCTCATATTCAAGTTTATCTCGTTAGTTCCCATTTCCGCCTTAGTCTGAAGTATGGTGGTTTGTTAAATTGGAGACAAGAAGCAGAAGTTCGCATAGGAATGTCACTAAGGTGTTGATGAAGTTCAACTCATGAATATTTGTGGAAATCGAATTTTCAGAAATATAATGCAAAATAACGAGTGAGAGCACAGAATAATGAACGTTTGCTAATATTAGAACCAAAGATATAAAGGTAAACAATCAATGAATGCATTCGGGCCATATTACTTAGAGTTTGTAACTCCCAAGTATCTACGGATAAGTCCATACCGCCTTATCTAAGGCTATGAATTACTGTCTTATCCTGACTTCACCTCTTGTTAACGGACTTTCTTTATTTTTAAGGTTTAAATGTATACAACAAAAATCTAAGTGCCTTTCGTTGTAATTAACATGATCACTTATCTACCATTTTGACCTAGCAACTCGAAACGTCGAAGATCCGATGTAGAATTTTTGGAGTTAAGAAACATTGTGTCTCCACCTACAGATCTCGATGCTGATCAAAATATCAGAAAGTCAAAGAGACTTCGTCGTGATTCTATATTTCTATCAAACTCTGAAAATAAAGAGCCTTCAAAACCATCCAGAGCACCTAAAAGAAAGTCACTGAGATGCCCATTAAAGCAAGTAAGTGTTTTTGACATTTAAATATATTACTTTGTTGTTATCCATGTCTTGTTAAGTGTCACTCATTTATGACTCATAGGTTGAATATGATCCTATCTTTGATTTTCCTACTTCATGATCCGTCTTGTTCCTACCATTTCAAAGGTCTAAAATACTTTGAAATATCACTAAATGTTCAACAGTCACTTTTCTGATGAGCTGTATTTTGAACACCGTAAATTGTTTGTAAGTGTGCTTGTAGCAGTGGTACTAGTGTGAAATTTGAGTGCAAGGCTATTGATAACACGTTCAGACTTCTGCTCACCTCAGCTTAGGTAGCTACATGCCTCTCTAACCATCTCATAAAAACTAGTTCATGGGTCCGTTTACCACACATTTGTTCGTAGTCATCGAGTTTTAAATTAAATAAATAATAAACGATCTTTGTTTTAGTTCACAGCAATCTGACGTTGAAGTCGTAATAGAAAATAAACTCACCAAAATGATAGTTGTGATAATTTTTCGCTCTAAATCAGTTCCACACACAACATCGGTATGGTACCAAAAAAAGGTTCGCCGAAGTAAAAAAGAAGACGATATTCACCCTCTAAAGCTAGAACTTAGAACCCCACTAACGGTATGCAAAAAGTAATGGACAAACCAGTTTCCAGCCAAATCAAAAGTTCCGATTACTATGCCATTGTAAATAGTGTTAATATCTACTTTTATGTGAAGGCATTCCCCGTTTATCTACTTTGGCTGATTAATGCATGTTGAAATTGTCAAGTTGCTATGATTACCTTGTCTCCTTATACTTATTCTGTTCTGTTGGCCAAAGTGATTCATTTCATGTTGGGTTAAGTTAGTTTCTGACATTTCTTATTCATTCTTGAGTGCAGTAGGTGTTCAGAACTTTATATAAGGTCCCAACTAAATTTATTTGTTAGTATCCATTCTTTACTCCAATTACTATTTATTTAATCAGTTCCTGACTTATTGCTTAACTTGAAATATTTTATTTTCAGTTGAATTCTCATGATAGTACATCCACTAATCCTACTCAACTAACTGTTCCAATGAAAAATGACCTACTACCCATGGATATTAGTTCTATCAATACTGTTTCATTTGGTAATCTGTCAATTTCATCACCAAACAAATCAGAAAATACTAAATTATCTCGTCCAAGTTCTTCACTTATTCCTGCATTTGTTTCAGATTTTTATCTCTCTAAAAGGTATGTTCCCCCTAAGCACAGAGGGTTAGCCACAGTAATTGAAGATTCTGTTAAACGGAGTCAGCGACGTCCTAGATCGTACAAAAAGACTGAACTTTCTCCGATAAGACGACAAATATTTACAGGCCAAACTCTTGAAGAAGCTTGTGCCCCTACTGCTGTTGGTATTGCTCCGCTAGACTCAGAGTTGGTGTTGTCAGTTACACGTAAGCGGGTTATCAGGCGTCAAAAGCTTGCGAAAAAGTTAGGTTTTCGTGGCATTAGTATATCCAAGCAGACTGAAGAGAACTTTGCTAAATTTCTTTCACAATCGAATTTGAATTCTTCTCACAGTAGCTCTGCATCTGTGTGAGTAGAAATGCAACTGTCCTTCATATTAATCCCGTACTACATATGGATACCTACGTCTTTCAACTAAGTATCAAAGTTCAGACCCTCTCTGTTTTATGTAAATCTTTTGTTCATATGGCAGATATTTTCACCAGTGTTTGCATGGAATCTTCCATACTTGGTATGTAAAGAGCATCGTAAGAACCTCATATTTCATTCCTTTTATCCTGCATATGGTATGGTGCCGTGTATATTTTTTGACTAGGTATAAGACCTGTTCAGATTTCTTACAACTTATGTTTAAAAAACCGAATTTGACTTTCAACTCCCTTTAAATTTTGTTACAACCCAAAATGTGGGACATTTTATAAAATATCATTTACTCTGAATATAATCTTAGTTCTTTTGAAACAACAAATACCTCCATATTTTTCAAGAAAGTTTCTTCTGTAGAGTTGGGCTATGCCTCAAACACAGACACGTTTCATGTTTTCGTTAGTCACTTTTATCAGTAGGTTTTTACTACACATTTCAAACATGACCATTCGCAAACTTTTAAATTAAATGGAAATCAGTAACGTGGTGTAGTTTTAAGACTTTCAATATTGCTTAATTGGCAGTTGGGTGCCCAAATTTCTGAAAATTCCTATCTTAGTCGTACTTTTTTGTAATCTTACTAATTTTATAGAATAAGTGGATTGTGTGTGCTTCCTGGAAGCACGTTTTGTCCTGTCTAGGATCTATCAGCTGCACCGATTTTCATCTCAGTGTTGATTATTTCAGGACTTGAACCCATTGTCCTTCCTTTCAGACTCTAATGTGTTATGAACTAAGGTACTGATTCAGGATTGTCACGTACATATGTGCCAACAAAGACCAATCAAAATCCAGTCTTGACCATCTATAAAGTCACTAGCTTTTGATCTGTGCCATGTTGGTAGATACAAATTACTTGGGTGTAGTCAGCGTGACTATCGTAAACAGTGGCTGGAGGCTCTGGGTAACATGGCTGAGAATCGATCACAATGGCGCGAGTGCATACACTCTTCGTCTTCCCTTAAGCTGTGAGATTAAAATTACTTAACGCATTTCTTTCTACGAACTATTTATTTATTTATTTGAACACATCAATATTGGCACAAAGGGGCACCGAATACATATGCGCTACACAAGTCACTTGATTTGTGTGTAGGCTGTAATACTCCCCGGGTGCCTAGACCGAAGCAAGTGGTTTTCCTAAGGGGGCCACACCCAAAGCTTTCGACCTAAAGGTTTGATCCACAAAACAATGGAGCAAGAGATACAGTTCCATGGTGGCCGGTGACGAACGATTGGTTCATACGTCATTCCTTCCTTTAGGATTCTGGAGTCCATATGCACCATCAGTAATTAGGGTTTTCCAACTCACCTAGGTGGACTTTGTGTGTTCACCAACCGGGTTAAAGCACCGGACATTCGCTTTTCGTTCTCTCAGTTTCGTAAACATCACGACCGCCGCGGAAAGGCAGTGAGTTGGACTTTCCCGGCAGTGGCTGTATATGCGTGGCCATGTAAGAACATTTCGAAAGGGGGAGTTAACTCTCCCCACTCTCAGCTATACCAAGGCATTTGGAGACCAGAACTAATTCTTTATCCAGGTATCATATCTTTATATGCAATCTTTTTTCATATATTACTACCATAGGAGTAACTGCTTCTATGAATTTGGTGTTCATCATGTTGTGCTAATAAGGTATGGGAACTTGGGCCAATACATGTATGTGCCTGGTCTTACGTTGTAGATGAATGACTTGCTTGGATTGTTGCTTAAGGTGATCAAATGACTTTCCACTTTGTCAGTATTCTCACTGAACAGAACTATATCATCTGCATATTCTAAGTCAGCAAGTAAATCTCCTGGTAGATCAGTCCCTGAAAACTCAGACTATGAGAATGTTATCTCTAAAAGCATGTCTATGACAAAGTTGAATAAAAATACAGAAGGAAAACAAATCCCATGAATACCACTTTAAGTAACCGATTCCGACGACGGTTCGCTCTAAGTTGTACTCGACCAGTAGTGTTCGAGTAAAGAGCCTGTACAATGTTAATGCACTTATCTGGTACACCTTTCAGGTACTGACATAGAACCTCGCGACTAACGGAGTCGAACGCCGCCTCAAGGTCAAACGGGAAGTATGTCTATACTCCATAATTCTCCCAAGAGTGAATATTTGGTCTACATATCCACATCAAGTTCTTAAACTAGCCTGGTTTTCTTGGTTTGCTCTATTCAGACGTCGAAGTATTATTGAGGTTAATGTTTTACATACCGTATTAGGTAAAGTGATGTCTCTGTGATTAGCAAAGTTTTTTGTCCTTATAAACCGGACGATCAGTTATCGATACCAGTCAAATTGGATTACGTCTAGTCCCCAGATTTTAGCTTAGGTTTCAGTCAGTGTGACTGCTGGAATCAGACCAACATCCTTAAAAGTCTCGGTTTAGTCCATCAGGCTCCGCTGCTTTCTTTCGCTTTAGATTACTCATAGCCTTTCCAACTGCACCAAGAGTTAGAGGACTTACATCATTTTGCCATTCAGATTACTTATAGATAGTGGGTAACTGAAGGCCGGTTGAACCGTTCCCTAAAGTGTTCTGCTCATCGGTTCAACCTCCTGAATTGAGTGAATAATAGTCCCGTCTATTTTCGAAATAGTTTTACTGACAGCAACTACACCTGTGGCCCCTCCGGGGCTAATGCCGGTCCCCAACCCGGATAAAGGAGGAGGGTTGGGCATGGGGTAAGCCACCCCATCCCGTAGAAAAATAATCCAAACCATTTATACTCTACCCTGGGAATCTAAGGAAGAATTATGACGCCTCATGATGAAAGCCAAGTTCCTTCGGAATTCACGAGGCCGATGCCCCTTCCAACAACCACAGCAACAATTCCTATAGGTACATGCAACGTCCGGACAATGTGGGAGACTGGAAGAGACTTCCAAATTGCTACAGAAATGAGGAAATACAACCTAGAGGTGCTTGGGATTAGTGAAACACATTGGACGTAGGTTGGACAACGACAAGTTTCAGGGCAGCTTCTGTTATAATCCGGTCATGAAGAATAAAATGCTACACATACACAAGGAGTCGCATTGATGCTGTCCAAACAAACACAAAATGCACTTATAGAATGGGAATCTCATGAACCAAGGATCATCAAAGCCTCCTTCAAAACAAAGAAAGGGTATTACAATGAACGCCATCCAATGCTATGCGCCTACCAACCACTACAATGAAGACGTTAAAGATCAATTCTACGATAGGCTGCAGTCAATTGTCTAGGAGTGCACAACAAAGGACTTGACCACTCTGATGTGAGACCTAAATGCCAAGGTTGGAATGGACAACACTGGATACAAAGATGTCATGAAACGACATGGACTGACTAGGAGAAAGGGACAAAAATGGTGAGAGATTTGCAAACCTATGTGCCTTCAATAAACTGATCATAGGCGGCACTATATTCCCACATAAACGCATTCACGAAACCACATAGACTTCACCGGATCACACTACGCAGAACCAAATCGACCGTATCTGCATCAACAAAAAGTTCAGAAGGACGACGGAGGATGTGAGAATCAGGATAGGAGTTGATATAGCACCAGATCATCACTTGCTGGTCGCCAAGATAAGATTAAAACTTAAGAAGCACTGGGCAACGGCGCGGAAAACACTACAAAAGTTTCTTCAGGATACTGACAAACTCAACAAATTCAAGATAGCCCTCAGCAACAGGTTCCAGGCCTTTCATGATCTACTCTATGGAAAGCAGCTGCTAAGGGATAAAAGAGGCAATCACTTCAACACCTCAGAAGGTTCTGGGCCACAAGAAGCACCATCACAAGAAATGGATCACTGTTGATACACTGCATAAAATTCAAGAAGGCAGAAATCAACACCAGACGAACAAGAGCAGAAAAAGCCAACGCACAAGCCAAATACACAGAAGTAAACAAGCAAGTAAAGAGGAGCATCAGAACCGACAAGCGTAAATATGTGGAAGATTCGGCAATGACGGCGAAAAAGGTTTCAAGAGAAGGAAACATGAGACAACTGCACGACACAACAAAGAAACTCGCTGGAAATTACCGTAAATCAGAACGACCAGTGAAAAGCAAGGAAGGCAAGGTAATCTCGGAGGGATTCTTTTGAATTGGTCGATATTTAGGTGATAATAATATCAAAGGAAAGACAATGTGTTCATTTGATGTGAATTCTTTATTCACAAATGTACCTTTGAAAAAGACTATTGACATATTATGTGACTATATATCTTTAAACAACCTTAAATTATCTATATCTTTAAAAGTTCTTAAAGATTTATTACTATTATGTACTAACAAAGTTCAGTTAACTTTTGAAGGCGAATACTTTCGCCAGATTGATGGGGTTGCTTTGGGTAGTCCGTTAGGACCATTATTAGCAGATGTGTTTATGACACATGTTGAAAATCTATCTGAAGACTTGATCGAAAACGTGTCACTTTTACATATCGCCACTTCAGACGACGCTAATCCTCATTCTTAAAGTTGGTGTTTGCCAGAAATAGACGGTTGTCTGAGCATAGTTGCAACAGACGCTTGCCGTTATCTGTTCGCTGAGCCGGATCACCGTAAGATCTGCCTAAGTGACTTCCTGTTTGCTTTATTTTACCCACCACTACTATATCAGAGCGTCTAACTTTTTGAAGGAGCTTCTCGTAAAATTCATTTTTAATTTCGTCTTAGTTGGAATGAGTGGGAGTGTAAACGGGCAACGAAAAGGCAGCGAGGTGTGTCCCTATTTTTCTGAGCTTACTGTCTCTTCTAGTCGAACAGTGCACAAGCGACTGACCAGTCTAGAAAGCCTATCACTATTTTAGAATTTAGTCCTATACCTACATCAGCACGGGCATGAGGTCGTGGGGGATGTAAGCATTAAGAAGTGAAGGGAGGACTCGATCGTCAACAAGATGATCTTAGGCGCTGATAGATGTATGGGGGCGAATGTCTTCCCGATTATCCACACTGTGGGAGGATACTTCTTCTTGAGGAACCTGAATTAGTGGTTTTAGAAACCTGAAAGCGTGACTTTAGAGCTCAAGGAACAAATGCTTTGAGGCCAGTCGCGCACGGCCTTTTTATGGGAAGATTTTGATGAGTTAGCTCCGCATTTCAAAAGGCCTTAACGCCGTAGACGGAGATCCGTGGAGCACAGTAGGGCATGACACTTCTAGGGTCGACTATTATTAATCCATTGTGAGAAGGCAGCATTTCTGCAGATGCTGGTTGTGTGAGGGGAACACGTTTATGCAGTCACATTCTCTACAGTCAGTCGTACGACTTCTCCCTCGGACCTTTAGTTACTAATTTTGGTCTTACTGTTCTCCAACCGGCCTGCCTGGTATGGCAGGACCTAAAGGGAAATGTGTTTCAGCCGATATAGCTCGGTTGAGTCATCATGATAGGCAAGCCTGACCACCACACCAAGGTAGCAGCTACAGTCTGGAGAAAGTAGTAAGATGATCCATCGGAAATCCGTTCCTAAATGTAGTTATAACTCAAGCAAGTCTTCTGACATGAAAGGTCTTAACGTATGGACAGCTTGTTTAAGTAATCTTTATCAAGACATTGATGGAAAACTAACACATTAGAAGTCGTCTAGACATAATGAATTCATCTAAAAACTAGTTTACCTCGGTTACTTTCTGTTGGAATAGTTTTGGTTAATTTAGATTAAAAGCAGTTATACTTCCTTTCATGGTTAACTTTTCGGTCTCTGAAGCTGTTTACACAGACGCTTAGTCGTTAATCGGGTTGACATTTTTGATGTATTATCGACGGGTGTCCAAAAAACAAGGCATTAGAATAGTTAAACTAGTAAACCTCTACGATTTCGAAGTGGTCTCAATCACAATAACATCATTTTGTGCCTGGTTCATGTGCTCACTGTTCTGTCTTCACATCCTTAATCCGTAAAATTGTCGTCTATAAAACAAATTCATCTGCTGGAGCAATGTAGGTGACTGTGACGTCTGGGCTACCTCATTAAGGTACTTCCTTACTTTTTATTCATTTCCTTCGACTCTTTAAAAAAAAACTCCATAGTGCAATAAGAAGACAAAGATTATCAAAACTATATAATATATTAGCGCAATACATTTCGAACAATCTGGTCACAAATATACTTACTAAGAATATTTATATATAAAAATAAAAGGTCAAGTAGACTAGAAATGGAGGGTAAGAGAAGACATAGATAATGAAGAAATAATGTGAAAACAACCTAATCACTCTGGATAATAAGCTAATATTACCAGGGTAAGTTTAAGGTGAGAGCAAACTGTCTTTGAATACGCAAAGGGGGGTTAACACTCCGTTAGTAATATTATTGTCAAATAACCTGCTTTTCTAAATGGTTTCCTCTTGATGTGGCAACGTTGGTTGTGAATAACTGAAGCGATAAACTATAACAGATCCTACGTTTATCTATTGCAAATTACAAAAGTAATCTTCTGTCTCGACCGCTACCGCCACTAACTGTCGCTTGCAATATTGGTATGAAGTTTGTAGGGGGAAATTAAAATCATGATACAGTTAAGAAAAATGGTTACTTTGTGACCTATACCTCCACCATCGATCGACTGTTTGTTAAATGGAAGGTCACATTATTTTGGTTAGGTATTTTGCGAAAGAGTAACAACTTTAGTTCCCTAATGCTATTTTAATTACTTGACTAGTGCTGCTGTATTCTAAAATACATGCGTTTGTGATTTAAAGATTGATCCTGAGCGAAGCATCATTTTGATCACCTTAGGTGATTCTACCGTTTTTTAATCCAATTGTTTCATCAGTAAAAGAATAACTAAAATGTGACTACGATTAAGTGAGATGCCAGAATGACTACTTTTTACATTTAGAAAACGAAGTATATTAATATGTATAGATATACAAATTCACTGGTCGTCACTATCCATTGGTTCTGAAAATACACCTAGTTCCTGCTCTAGTTCTAGTATGGCTTGCTCAATTTCATAGTTTTTGCCAACCAAACCGACCCACGACTCTTCTAGTTCCTTGAGATGTCTTCCAGCAGCTGTTTGCTCTTGTTTACGACGCCAGTTTATTTCCTGAATTTTTCGCCTTTTAAAACGTAAAACGAAACTAAATAAATCAAGAACTAAAAAATCTCTGAGCTAACATTTTGAGCAACAACCTACTAGACGAACATGAACTTGCTAAGTGTAAAACATCAACGAAAATTAAAAAAAACCACGATGTGACTAACTTTACTGTTACGAAAGTCCGAGAGTCATTTCTTAATACTGAATGAATAATGTCTTGTGCTCATATGATAAGCATTTCCAGCGATGGGAACATTCTATTTTGGATGGTTAAAGATCGGTAAAGGTTGGTTTTAGAAACTATATTTTCAACCACTTTAATGACTTTTGTCCATAAAACCAAAATTCTAAAAAATGTACATGTGTTCTGACTTATAATATAGGGATTTTGAATACTACAAGAAAGACGAAACCTTTACTCCACTAAGATATCTGAGATAGTATGTGAGCAACATCAAAAAAGGATACTTTTTAAACTATGTAGTCACACTCTTTTGAAGTTTTTGGAAGTACATTAATCTCCGTAGTGCATTAGGTGGAAAAAAGATCACAAACCTCCATTAAGACACTGGCGGTTCCTTACCACTCCTAACTTTTCAAACTGTCATCTTCGCTTCACTTGTAACTTTTGCTGCCTAACAATATCGTCTTTCCAACTCCTCACCCAGCGTTAATGATACGAACCTGAAAATTAGCATTCCGCTTCTTACTGCATTCTCGAGCAATAAGACCATATTGTTTTCAAAAGACAGAGAAGATTGGAGTGCATTTCCCTTGACCTTATACACCTAATGTATAGAACTGACACTTGTGTCATATATGAATACAATTCTGTAGATGTAAGCGTTAAAATATTATCAGGTTCCAGGGTATATCTTTGCCTAAATTAAGTTGATAACTGCCTGTGTCTCCAAGCTGAATGGCTTCTTAGTAAGAAACCGTAACATAATGAGACCGACTTGTTACCTCAATTGGCGGACCGACGGGAAACATTTTAAACGATATCAGGTGGATCTTTATCAAAATCTATGAAACTTATTGTAAGAACACATAAGTTTAGCTTTAGTGAAAAGTAACTAATGCCTAAGCAAAGACAAATATCCTGGAAGAACCTCAGTTAGTCACAACGTAGAACCTGTACGTACATACATCGGTTCGAGTTACCGTAACCCATTAGCAAAGAGATGAAGTTGTTGGGTCAAATCCCGGAATATTAGAGGTAGTCACAGTATCAGTGGTAATAGGAAAGATTAGGAATCAGAGATACACTTCAAAAAGAAAATACAAATTGGTGAAATAGGAACAAAGTTATGAGGAGTTTAGAATATCATAATTTGGTAGAAGAAAAAGGATGGATGCACCTGCGCCAGTGAAAACGATTTAGAGCCATGACATTCGGTCTCTAACTATTGGTTACGATAATCACGCGGACCCCAACCAGGCAGTCTATACTCTTTAACATGGCTAAGTACTGATGCTATGTTTTGGTTTGGTCCCCCTCTCTTTTCAGTCTACTCCTGTACTAGGAAACTGTCCATCAAAGTAGGAAGTGGCCTGGCATATGTAACACGTCCTTATCACCTCAGTTTATGAGGATTAAATACTCCAGTCGATTTCCTATCTACCCATTACTCTATTTCTAACTCAGGTATTGTTTACTCTATGGTCCCAAGATACACAAGCAAGACTTCGTAGACGCCTATGATTGTATGCCAGTAACCTACGAATATCCTATATCATCAATGACCATGTTTTACATCCATAAAGTAGAACGGAGCAAACTGCTGCACAGTAAACTTGCCCTTTGGTTGAGAGATGGATATCTCGCCTGCACCACGAGATGGCAAAAGCCAATCGAGCCCTTCGAATTCATTCCGAGATTTCATCATAAACCAGTACCGATGCGGCTTTTAAGATAATTGAAGCCGTCGATATGTCCAACTACTTCACTCCCTATCACTAATTCAGACGATGACACAAGCCAATCCTGCAGTAACGTTTTGTGTTTGGTGGGAGAGAACTGCACCCCAAACAATACTTGGATTGTTGCTTAAGGTGGTCAAATGACTTTTCACTTTGTCGGCATTCTCACCCAACAGAACTATATCATTTGCACATCCTAAGTCAACAAGTGAATCTCCTGGTAGAAGATCAATCCCTAAGAACTCAGACTATGAGAATGTTATCTTTAAAAGCATGTCTATGACGAAGTTAAATAAAAATGGAGAGGAATCTCGTACGAACGAACTCATCAAAATGACTAGAACTTGTTATTCGGTCTAGATAATAGCCTGCTTTTAACCAACATTAATATAAGTGAAAACCCGAAAAGAAAACATTTGTTCAGTTATAAGCCCGGACGATAATTTATCGATAAAGTCTAAACGTTCAATCAAGTTTTTGAATAAAAGCATTCCACAGCTTCCTACAGCGGCTATAATTGTTGACCAGCGCTAAAAGTACTATTCATACTTTTGAAAGCATTCTACTGGAGTACAGGCAGTCTCGCGGAAGAATATAGGGAAACCTCACCCGATCTCCAAATGAGTACTTCAGATAATACTGTTGAGCGCCATCAGTTTCGATTTCTTTATAAATATACTGACGAATTCAGCTCTGTTAAGCTCAAACGGAGACTAATAAACTGACAACATCTCATACGTAGACATTGATCCTAAAAATTGCTGCTTTCCGTACCTAAAATTATGCTTTAGGGCTGTTATGTACAAAAATATATTTTAAGATTAATGAACGAAATCTAGGTGTGTAAACAACATAATCTACTAAGTGTATTACAGAATCCCATGGGTACACAAGGCTTGTCGACCTACGTTGAATACATATGTTGAGGCACCTGCATCATAACCAGTAGGGTGGAAAGTGTAAAACAGACCTCTAGCCAACTATAAAACAGTGGGACATGGCAAATGTATTTGTGCATTATGGAATGACAGAGTGCCCAATGTTAAGATTACGTATACAATTATCAAATAGAATTATATTAATCACACCTGAACATAAGCTCAGCCACCGACTAATTCAGAGTCGGGAACAAACTAACGAGAGCATGGATACGGCATGGAATTAGTGAAAGGAGTTGCTGATTTCTAGTGTGAGTAATGATTTCGACATTTTACGAGTTTATGTTTACAAAGTAAATACATGTTAGATGAGCTTCGCCCATTAGTTCAAAAACTTCGTTTCCAAGCAGAAAGTGGTGGACTCATATATAAGAAGCTACATAATACCATTAGTCCTCATCAAATAAACATTTCATAGCCTAAAGTGTAACCCTGTTCATGATTGTTGAGTTTTTTTACGAACTTGTTTTACAAGGTTTGACCACAAGAGACAAAACAAGGAACTTCTGTCAACTACCTCATATCAGCATCGGATACAGGCATTTGCACAGCAATAAAGAGTTATATCAAATTTTGTCTACAGGGGGAAATCTTCATAGGTTTGTTCAGTCAGCTACAACGTAGGACAAGGCACATATATGCATCGGTCCAAGTTGCCATACCTCGTTAGCACAACAAGATGAACACCAGATTCATAGAAGTAATTAATTTAGTGGTGGTAGTATATAAAGAAAGGTTGTATATAAGGATATAGTATAGGAAGGAAAGAAGTTATGAAGCAATTTTAATCTCAAGATTTAAGGGAAGATAAAGAGTGTATACACCTACGCCATTGTGATCGATTCTGAGCCACGTCACACAGAGTCTCCAACCATTGGTTACGATAGTCACGCGGACCCCAACCAGGTAGTCTGCATCTGCCAACATGGCTCAGACTGGAAGTTAGTGACTTCAAGCACTGATGCCATGTTTTGGTTTGACCGCCCCTAACTCTCTTCCAACCATCCCATACACTAGTCAGCATTGCGCGTCGTGGTAATCGGTGCTTAGGCATACGTAACACGTGGCCCAACCATCTCAGTCGATGAAGATTCATAGCCTCATCAACTGATTTACCATCATTCCCTAATACCCTGCATCAAACCTCACTATTACTTACCCGGTGATCCCAGCAGTTGCGAGCAAGATACCTAAGACATCTGTGGTCAAATACTAGTAACTCACGGGTATCTTCTACCCTTAATGTCCACGTTTCTCAGCTGTAAAGTGGAACAGAGCGAACTGCTACGCAGTATACTTGTCCCTTGATTGATAGACGGATATCTCGTCTTCGCCATAGGTGACGTAAGTTGGCAAATGCCAAACGAGCTTTTTGAATCCATGCTGAGATTTCGTCAGACACCAATCCATTAGGGCTGATCAGGCTTCCAAGATAAGTGAAGTTGTCCACGCATTCGACTACTTCACTCCCTATCCTTAGTTCAGGTGTTGACGCAGGCCAGTCCTGGAGTAACAATTTACATTTAGATGGGGAGAAACGCATCCCAAATATCCTGGCATTATTACTCAGTTCTAACAGAAGACTCTGCATTTTGCCAGAGTCTTCACCAAACAGGACTATGTCATCTGCGTATTCTAAGTCTATAAGTGAACCTCCTGGTAGAAGATCAATTCCTGAAAATTCAGTCGATGAGATAGGTTTGTTATCTAACCTTTTTATTAAACATCTAATCCTTACTCGCTTCCTATATGTTGTGTTAAAAAGATGGATTTACAAGTGGTGCACATACACATTTGGCTATTTAAGACGAGTAAGCTAGTTTTAGTCATGGAGAATCAAAGACTACCTTATTTCTAAGAGCTCCTTTTCGTAAATCTGCAGAGAGCTTTCCAAAACATTGTTGTATTGTTTCCAAGCATTACATCCATAATCTGCCATTAGTTCTAAATTCTCAATTCTTGTTGCTTGGTGTTCTAACTGTGCCTATTTGAGAAACAAATTGGATATAAAGACATCTTACTTCAGCGTTTTCCATTGCATCTTGCCACGCTTTCACATCAGTCATTTTTCCAGCAGGGGGTGGGGGTAGCTCGTAACGTTTCATACTTAACATCTCCATAGGCAAACGATTAGACAGTCTGTCAAATTCGGCTTTCATCACCTCAGTCTCAAATTTCATTTGAATAGGACCAGATAAAGAAGGAAGATGTTCCAAATAATTTTTCGTTGGTCTATATCGTTTCATCTCCTCTTCAACTAGAAGAGCTGCAGCTTCTCTAATACCAGGATCATCGTATCCTTTGTCAAAGTAGGGGAGAGCATCAACAACTCCTATGTGTTCAGACGTCATTTTAGGATAAGCTGGTTAAGGAAAAGTCAAAACACAGTAATAACCCTCGGAATTAAGGTTCGTTCATGATCTGAATATATATATAGGACATTATTTTCGCGAGAAATACCGTCGATGAGGATAGGCAACGATATTAAAGTAAGTTACTAGGTTGAAAAATGTGTACGGAGAAGAAACTATTAATCAATAACACTGTAAACAAGTGTTTCTCAGACTATCACGTTGGACTAACTCTAGACCGATGTCTTTTGAGTCAGCGACACACGGTAACTTTAGTTTGTAGATAACTTGGTTGAAAACAAACTTTTAAAGCTCTTTTCTTATTGTTCATTACCAACGTCTTATTAACTTCTTAACTCTTGTTATTATCAATCGTCAGTGTTGCCCTTGACTTTCTCGACAGCTAGGTCCGGCCTTACAAGCGTCATTTGTGATGTGAAACGGAGCTCCAAACTACTGGTTAAATTTTGCGACGTTGATATATTTCATCAAGCCAGAAAACACGGATTATTAGTTAAGATGAAAGAATATTTGGTCACTTGTTTCTTTTCCAATGTATGGATGTGAAGCAATATTGTGGGTACAAACATTTTCTAACGGATCAGAGTAGAAAGCTTTCACATACATCAAAAATTAGCTAGACAGATGTACTATACAGGTAAGTTAAAACTAGTCATACCAGATTTGATGCCCCGAGTTGTGGTATTAGGTCTAAGTAAGAAAGACTCACTATACTCAGATTTTGTCCTTGAAAATCTGTTTTTATTAGCCTGAACGTAATCTTCATTTTGCTAGTTTAAGTTATAGTAATGAGATTGACATTCATGTTCAGTCACTACGGAAAAGACAAACGGAACAATGAGATGATGCTGTCGAGATTGAATAAAGGTTCCGTAAAATAATGAGGGTCTGGGAAAGACATATTATTGCCGAGGAGCGAATGTCAAAACCTTCCTGAATTCAACGACGATATAGACTCTACGCCAGTGTCTTATATACTGAATGCAAAATGTGTAACTAGGATTCACAAGAGTATAGGGTAGCCCATTGCAATGAACGTAATTTTATCAGAGCCAATACTATCCAAAGAAAGCAACAAAACAAGCTGCTAGATGCAGCATTATGAATGTTTAAGACGATTGCTGAAATATCGAAAGCATAAACATTAGGTGAAGACCATAATTACCACCCTTCAGTGAATACAAGAATTTAAAACCAAAGACCAATATCTACGTTGACATCCCATCTCAAGGTGACACAGAATTATTTACTACCCAAACAACCAAAAAAGAAGGATAATGAGGAAGAAAGCGTTAATTTAGGGGAAAATTCGACTTGTTATGGTCAGATTAACTTCAATCGGGTGGATTAATATCATCGTCTGTTTATAAGGTAGTAAACAGCATAAAATTAATAAATGTAGGGCACTGTAGTGGACGTCTGATCGCTAAACGCGAGTAACTCAATAAGACTTAACCAATAAGGCATGTGCAAACTTCTGTAACGCCTTAGTCAAGCGTAGAGATAACCTTATCGATCTCGTAGTTCAATATCAGCTTCAGTTCCAGAGCGCGTTGTTCTAAGTTTATTTTCAGATACTGACGAAGTATCAACGTGCTTGTTGACTGTGGGATGAGGTATTACAAGTGTAGGAGCTGTGTCGTTCGATTGTGCCGAAGAAAAATCGACGTGAATATGATTCCCTTCTAAATACTTTGCTTTGATTCGTTCGATTCTGATGCAATCGATTGTGTCATTCTTATCGGCTATATAGTACTTAGACCCACGATGAAGAACTTCGAAGTGTCCTTCATATGCTGATTCGAGGGGTCGTCGATATGAGTCTCGACGTACGAAGACTTGTGTACTATATCGTAAATCAGGTTGAACGAAAGCATTAGTTGATTGAGGTCGAGTAGAAAGAGGTTTAACTGAACGCATCTCATTTGTAAGCCTGCTTGTGTAGGATTTTAGATCCATGTTCATTGAAGAAGACGATGGATTCATGAATTCTCCTGGAAGTCGGAGTGTTGTTCCATAAATGAGTTCAGCTGCAGTGTATCCAGTGTCAGCTTTCACTGTATTATGAATACCAAGTAAGATTAGTGAAAGGGTGTCGGTTCACTGTCAAACGCGTGCAGTTGATAGTGAAGCTATTAACCCTCAGTGAAAGCGTTCTACCAAACCTTTTGTTTGTAAGTGGTAGGCGGTCGTTCGGAAGCGAGTGGTTCCTCATGGTGTGGTCAGACAACAGAAAAGTTCAGATTCGAACTGGCGTTCGCTGTCTGTAGTGATAGTTGAAGGGCAGACGAAATTTACTACCCGTCGTTCGATGAGGGCATGGTCCGCTGCCTCAGCAGTAATGCCCTTAATAGGTGCTGTTTCTGATCATCAAATGAAACGGTCTACAAAGGTTAGAAGATAGGATTATCCATTTGAATCTGTTAAGGGTCCTACCAAATTCAGATGAACATTGTCGAAACGAGCATCAGGAGTTTTGAAAGAGCCTGATGGACATTTGTTGTGTCCAACCACATTAGATTTTTGGCAGCTTACACAGGAGTGACTACGTTATTTGCTCCAGAAATGTGTTGTATATCTGAAGTAAACTGCGAAACGTAGTCCAGTTGTCGAGACACACGTGGTGAGTACTTGTTTGAAGACGAGTTTAAAAAGAAAGCAAGGAGTTTATGGTCAGTAAAAAGGGTGAATTCTCTGCCTTCGATAGAGTTTTAAAAATGCCATGCAGCATACTACATAGCTAGGAGTCCCCTACTGAAAGTGCTGTACCTCAATTCAGTGTCTATCAACCGTCTCGATAAAAGTGCCAAAGGTTGCCAGGAGTGGTTAACCCATTGTTGTAAGACTCCTCCGATTGCTGAGTCAGATGCGTCTACTGCGATACTAATGGGAGCTCGAGTGTCCTGATGGTTGCCTTTGCGATATGTTCCTTAGCTGTGGATAATGCTTTTCGCACAGTATCGTCCAGATCAATGGATTTCGCATTTCCACGAAGATGGTCAGCGGTTCCACAAAAGATGCGCAATTGCTTGATAGCGGTCGAATCTGGGTAATCCGGAATGCACGCCAGTTTGCTTCTAGGAGTTGAATGCCTTATGTATTAATAATTTGTCTTAAGGGATCTAAAGAGTCGGTTTCCCTTTGGCATTTCTGAATGTTTAGAGTAATGCTATTCTTTTGCAGTCGTTCAATCACTATGTCCAAATGCTGGAGATGGGATTCTCTGTCCGGACTTGTTATCAAATAGTCATCAATATACACATGTACGAAGTTGAGGCCCCGGAAAGCGTCATCGATGAACCTTTCGAAGGTTTCATCGGCATTCCTTAGACCGAAAAGCACTCGCAAAAATTCGTGGAGTCTGAAGGGAGTTATGGTAGCGGTTTTTGGAATATCATCAGTAGCCATAGGGATCTGACTGTAGGCTTTAACCAAGTCGATTTTCGGAAAGACAGTTGTACCTTTCAAGGTAGCTGTCAAATCGTGAATGTTAGGCAACGGGTAACGACCAGGAATGGTCGTTATGATTTATGAAATTTCAAAAAGGAACAGACTCAGAGTTTATAGGTTGGTGTACCAGATCACATCAGGCTTAGCAATGAAGATACCACAGGTATTACAGGTTGACAACACTTCACCAGTCACACCTTCCATAATTGAATCGCATACACTAAATGAAATCAAAAGTCAGAAGTGAGCAGGTTGGAAGACATATTTGATGGATTATCAATATATCGAGAAGTGACTGATCTGAACTGGATAGTGATCACAGGGGACGTTGTGCACGCCGTTCCAACTCATGATCCGGTGCGGTTGTATGACCGAGCGCCTTCAGCTAGGTAAGTGCATTAAAACTAATGTGGTCAGCATCCAGTGTAGAACATGATGATGCAACAGATATTCTAGTTTTACAACTAGATACCAGTAGCACCTTCTAAATTCGGTTGTTCCCAGTCAGATAGAAATCAGAAGTCGGACGAGAATAGGCAGGAAAGATATATTTGATTCGTTACCAATATATCGAGGACCTTTTCTATGAGCTGGCTAATGAAACGTAGGAGCTGTGTCCCACGCAGTATTGAAACGTGATCTGGTGCGGATGCATGACCGAAAGCCTTCAGCTAAACAAGTCCACTTAAACAACGTGGTCAGCATCCAATGTCGAACACTTAATGAGCTATTGATTTTGGGGAATTATTTACAGCTGCAGATCACTCCCCTCCTAGTGAGGTAGTGATGCCCCTAAGACGTGACCAGCCAGAAGTTTAAACCCAACGAATTTGTCGTTGGTAAACACTCTTCTGATAGCTTGCTTCGTTTAGCAGCGTCTGGTAGTCTTTCCTTAAACTATGGGACCAAAATGTACAACGTAGCAAATAAAGAAATATAGTACAATGAAAATTTCTGTTCCTTGCGAAACTTCGTCGTTCTTTTCCAGCCGTCCTGGAAAAGAGGAAAAATAAAACGTGTGAGTGCATGTCAAAAATACACTCGTACTTGCGTAAGGACACAAGATGAGCGGAAAAAAAAATAAACTGATACACTTACAAACAGCGTAAAAGCGATCGGAAAAAAGGTTTTCTTTTGGTTTTTTTTCAATATATAAATATATATATATATATACGCTCAAAAAAAATGTTTTTTTTGTTGTTTTTTTACATAAATAAAAAATGAGCATATTAAAAAAAAATTTATAATAAACTTTGAAAGGGTAATTCCAGATAAAGCTTATGTCCTACGTGCAATATTCGTTAAGATGTTCTGGAAATCTTACTCGTCTTCCAGAACGCGTTGTTTTAGGTTTTTCTATCGACGTTGACGAAGTATCAAGTTGTGTGTCGGTTGTCGTGTAGGGTACTACGAGTGTAGTAGCTGTGTCGTTTGCTTGTACCGAAGGAAAATCGACGTAGCTAGGGTTTCCTTCTAGGTACGCAGCTTTGAGTCGATCGATACTGATGCTATCTTTCGTACCGTTCTTATCAACTACATAGTACTTAGGTTCGCGTTGAAGAACTTTGAAGGGTCCTTCGTATGCTGATTCGAGGGGTCGTCGATGTGAGTCTCGACGAACGAAGACGTGTGTACTATGTCGTAATTCGGGTTGAACGAAAACATCAGTTGATTGAGGTCGAGTGTGAGCAGGTTTAACTGAACGCATAGCGTTTGTAAGCCTACTCGTGTAAGAGTTTAGATCCATGTTCAATGAAGAAGCTGAAGAATCCACGAATTCTCCTGGGAGTCGGAGTGTCGTTCCGTAAACGAGTTGAGATGCCGTGTATCCAATGTCAGCTTTCACTGCATTGCGGATACCTAGCAAGACGAGTGGAAGAGCGTCTGTCCACTGTGAAACGTTTGAAGCTGATAATGAAGCTTTTAATTGTCGATGAAAACGTTCTACCAACCCGTTTGCTTGTGGGTGGTAGGCGGTCGTTCGGAAGCGCGTGATTCCTAAAAGTGTGGTCAGACAACGGAAAAGTCCAGATTCGAACTGTCGTCCGCGGTCTGTAGTGATGGTTGAAGGGCAGCCGAAATTTGCTACCCATCGTTCGACGAAAGTGCGAGCCACTGTTTCAGCAGTAATGTCCTTAATCGGTACTGCTTCTGGCCATCGAGTAAAACGGTCTACGCATGTTAGGAGATATGAGTATCCGTTCGAGTCGGGTAAGGGTCCTACCAAATCTAGATGGACGTGGTCGAAACGAGCGTCAGGGGTTTTGAAAGAACCTAAGGGACATTTGTTGTGTCTGATTACCTTAGATTTCTGACAGCTTACACAGGAGCGTGACCACTCCCTCACGTCTTTATTCATGCCAGGCCAACAAAAGCGTTCGGCTATAAGTTCGATTGTTGCACGAGCACCTGGATGAGAAAGATTGTGCAACGTATTGAAGACGTTGCGGCGATAGTGTTTTGGTACAATTGGACGATCCGTACCTGTAGATGTGTCACAGAGTAAGGTTTCCTTACCTGTTCCCATCTGCCTAATACTTAGTTTAAGAGTTGTCGAGGATAACTCATGCTGAAGATCAGTGTCTTCTTTTTGAAGCTGAGCGAGTTTAAGAAGGTCGATTCCTTGGAAACTGTTCAAGGAATTTATTCGAGACAAGGCGTCTGCGACTACATTGTTAGCTCCAGAAATATGTTGTATGTCTGAAGTAAACTGCGAAATGTAGTCGAGTTGTCGAGACTCTCGCGGTGAGTACTTGTCTGAAGATGAAGTTAAAGAGAAGGTAAGAGGTTTGTGATCGGTAAAAAGCGTGAATTCTCTTCCTTCGATGGAATGTTGAAAATGCCGTACAGCACAATACATAGCTAAGAGTTCCCTACCGAACGTGCTGTACCTAGATTCCGCGTCTAGCAACCGTCTCGAGAAAAATCCTAAAGGTTGCCACGAGTTGTTAACCCATTGTTGTAAGACTGCTCCGATTGCTGAGTCGGATACGTCTACGGCGATACTAATGGGCGCTTGAGTGTCCTGATGAGCAAACAGGGTTGCTTTAGCGATGTGTTCCTTAAATGTGGAGAATGCTTTACGGGCTATGTCGTCTAAACTAATTGATTTCGCATTTCCACGAAGCTGATCGGTTAACGGTTTCATTAGGGATGCGCATTTAGGTATGAACCGTCTATAGAAACTTACGAGTCCGTTGAAAGTTAGTAAGTGCTTGATCGTGGTCGGTTCTGGGTAATCCAGAATGGCCGCCACTTTGCTTCTAAGGGGTCGGATGCCTTGGGCATCAATGGTGTGTCCTAGGAAGTCTAAGGAGTTTGTTCCGATTTGGCATTTCTGTATGTTGACAGTAATGCCATGTCTTTGGAGTCGATCGAAAACAATGTCCAGATGCTTGAGATGCGATTCTCTTTCCGGACTTGCTATTAGACAGTCATCAACATACGCATGTACGAAGTTGAGACCTCGAAAGACGTCGTCTATAAACCTTTGGAAGGTTTGAGCCGCGTTTCTTAAACCAAAAGGCATTCGTAGAAATTCGTAAAGACCGAAGGGAGTGATGATGGCGGTTTTAGGAATGTCGTCAGGTGCCATCGGGATTTGGTTATAAGCTTTAACCAAGTAGATTTTCGAAAAGACAGTTGTACCTTTCAAGGTAGCTGTCAAATCGTGAATATGAGGCAGCGGGTAACGATCGGACTTTCGTAGTCACATCCGTGACGTATAACAGACGGCTGTGTTCGCCGGCTACGGTTGCCGTTAACGCGTGCCGGCTGGGAAGTTTCCCGAAATCTTATTCGTGTCAGTCGATTTTGAAGTCGGATAATTGCAAGGTTTCCTGCAATTTCTGGAAAACTTACCGTACTGGTTGTGATACCAGCACCAGTCGGGATTGTCTGTCTCTCGTGGTCGAGAGCCAGATCGCTTACGTGAGACGCTTCTACGCGGGGTTTTTGACCGACTACGGTCATTGCGAACTCTAAGATATCGTGTAAGCGTGTGACATAGTTCGGCCATGTCAGTCGAGGTCGATTGGGGTTTTTCCTTGACGGAAAAAACCTCGGCCTTAGGAGATCTAGTGATTTCCAAGATTTGATCGGCAGATGCAGCTAGTTCATCTATGGCATTGTTTTGAAATGAAACAAGCACTGCCTGCACCTGTTGAGGGAGTTTAGACAAGAAAAGTTGTCTAAATAGACCATCATCGAAAGTTCGTTGGCCGATGACTTCTCTCATTCTAAGCAACATGTCCGTCGCAGAACCATGTTGCAAGTCGATATTGTTAAGGAGTTGGTCTAACCGTTGTCGATCAGTTAGGTCTCGTTTTAAAATCGATAGCTTAAGCGATTCGTAAGGTTCGGAAACATCACTAGTGAACATACTAGGTGTTACGTACCTGTTAAACTCGCGCGGTAACGCCTTAACTACCGCGAGGAAACGTGTGCGCGAGTCCGTGATTCCGTGCATGCAAAAATCGGCTTCTGCATATCAGAACCAGGACTCCAAATTGTCGGGCCAAAATGGCGTTAACTGAATCGAAATAGGGGGAATAGACTTTAACTTAAAAACCTTGGGTGAGTGTTCCGTCATAGTAATATAGCTAACGAAAATGTCTAATTAAAATATATCCGGAAAAAAAAATTCGCGAAAAAAGTATATCACAATATATAAAATTCAAATAAAGAATAACAATGAATAATAATATTCCAAAATGGAACAGACTCACAGTATATTGACTTGGTGTACCAGATCACGTCGGGCTCACCAATGATGATGCAACGGATATTCTAGTTTTACAACTAGATACCAGTAGCACCTTCTAAATTCGGTTGTTCCCAGTCAGATAGAAATCAGAAGTCGGACGAGAATAGGCAGGAAAGATATATTTGATTCGTTACCAATATATCGAGGACCTTTTCTATGAGCTGGCTAATGAAACGTAGGAGCTGTGTCCCACGCAGTATTGAAACGTGATCTGGTGCGGATGCATGACCGAAAGCCTTCAGCTAAACAAGTCCACTTAAACAACGTGGTCAGCATCCAATGTCGAACACTTAATGAGCTATTGATTTTGGGGAATTATTTACAGCTACAAACACATACCACTGCAACCGGCACGTTCTGAATTTTCCACAACAAGGCTGGACTCTGGATTTTGTTCCATAGGTACTGAGAATGTGTTATACCATGACCACTTCTTTTGTTTCCGTCCTTCAGTTACTAAAGAAATGTGGTTTGAAGATTCGTTTGGCTGCAGCACTATTTGAAAAGTCTTCGTTTCGCGGGGAAGTTGATATCGTTTTAATGTCCATAACTAAGGGACCTGTCAATGTTCATAAGAAGGGGTTAACTTCAGCAGTTTATGATATTCATGGACGGTAAGGCCTCATGTTCTGGCCGTATGTAATTTTATTCAGCTGTATAGTTACTGGTGGATCAGATGGGAAAATCAAAGTCTTTGAGTCGCTTGATGACGCTTGCCCTGTTGAACACATCGTTGGAGAAAAAATCAATGCTATTGCTTGCCGAGTAGGTATTAGACATTCATTTTAATTTTGAATTAGTATGAAAACGTCATTGTTGCTACTGAGGGAACTTACGTCCACATTCTTCAGATGGAAGATGGTCTTCCTGACGGTGTAGCTACCCGCTTTACTGCAGAAGTCAATCATTTAGCTATGAACAAAGACCTTAGTAAGATAGCTTTGTGCAGTAGGTAGGATATTGCTTCATGTGGTTTATATTAGTAGTGATTTCTCGGTCAAGGTTGTAGATCTTTCGGGCCATGATAGCGACCGGGAATTGGTTTTCAATGGACATCAAGGAGCTGTCCTGAGTGTGGCTTTTGACCCTCTCGATGTATTTATAGCTTCTGCTTCATGTGATGGTAGTGTCCGTCTCTGGGATCTAGTGATTGGGAAGGAAACAAAGTGTATTTCTACGCTTGTGAAATGCAACGATCCTCTCTTTGCTCCAAGTTACTGTAGATTATGCTGGGAGAGCACAGTTGGGAAGGTTTGTCCATATCGATTCATGTTCCATTTGTCAGTTTTTACTTGTGCCGGTTGATAAAGAAATCAGAATGTTTGAACGAGTGTGTTGGAGTTTACTTTGCTCCCTATCCTGCCCTTCAGTCACTCAAGCATACAATATATGCGCTTCTTCACGGGATGGCAACCTTATTTCAGCTGGGTCTTTAGATGGGTGGATTATTGTTTGGCGTGTTGAAGACAGACAACCAATTCATCGGTATGATATTTCGTGTTTGACATACTTATTAAAATCTTGGTTAGACTATAATTTATGGATCACCTTTGAGCAACGTTAAAATTACCTTGGAGTGTCCACCTACTTACCGGGGTTAAGAATTGTATATTAGTGTCAGGAATTAAAATTAGGATTTACAGTTGAATGCTGGGGTTAAGAATTAGATTTAATGTTTTTATCACGAAGTGACATCAGTTATAATGCCAAAATGGTATTTAACCAAATTAATGAACAAATTTCGCTCCAAGATCTGCTATCTTTAATGTGATTAATCTCGCCAAAGTCTCCATAAGTTTAAGCACTCATCCAACTGGCTGGTCAGTTTCTCGCTGCTTTTAAGTTATATATTATTGTTGGCTGTCACAGTAAATGTATACCGTAATGTTACTGGACTGATATTTTTTTATTTATTTAAACATAAATATTGGTGCAAAGGGGCACCAGACATATATGCTCCATACAAATCTCATTTGATTTGTGTGAGGGCTGTGATACTACCCGGGTGCCCAAACCGAAACAGGTGGTTTTCTTAGGGGTCACACCCGGAGCCTTTAACCTAAAGGTCTGATCCACAAGGCAGTGGAGCAACGTAAAGAGATGCAGTTCCATGGTAGCCGGCGACCAATAATTGGTTTATACGCCATTCGTTCCCTCAGGATCCTGGAGCCAATGTTCACCATTGGTTTGGAATCAGGGTTTTCCAACTCCCCTAGGTGGATCCTAGGTGAACATTCGCTTTTTGACCTCTCGAGTACGTAAACAACACCCCTGCCAAGATAAGGCAGTGTGTAGAACTTCCTTGGCAGAGGCTGTATACGCGTGGCCATGTGTAAGCATTTCTCGAGGGCGGTCCCTTTTCACTCTCAGCCGTATCAGGGCATTTTGGGGCGCTGGACTGATAGACCTATGATTGCCGAGTTACACATCTGGATAACTACTTTAAGACAAATAGTCTTAACTCAATTTCCAACGATGAGTTTCGGCGCTTTGGACCCACTGTTCATGGCTGTGGTACGTATCCGAAGACAAAATTAACAGTTAAATTACTTCTTACACAGATATTTATAAGCAGCTACCGGTAATCTCGCCATTTCGCTGCGTGTCTATAAAAGAATCCAAACGTGCCTAGAATTAGGCGAAAAGGTGACCCACGTTATCCAAAATTTTCTTAGAGAAATGAAAATGAATCGATAACAAACCCCATAATTGACCGTCGTGTGGACTTGAGTCGTTAGATTAGAACAGGATTCGTGTTCAAAATCAGCCACGTGATGTTTCCTTCAAGTTGGTTACATTTTTAAATACTTGATTGTTATTTACCTTACGACAATAAGTCAGTATGTTTAGTGATCGCCGAATATCTACTCGAAATTAGTAAGTTGTTTCTTGACTTGTCAGTGCTATTTGGAATTAATATACTGAATAACTTTCAAATGTTTCTTGTTAATAGTATTCGTGATCCGTCTCATAGTCGGATTTGTAGCTTATTTTGGCATCCTCTCGACAAAAATCTCCTATTCGCAAACGAAAATGGATCTGTGGGACTTGTCCACGCTCCAGACCACCAGGTATTTTTCTTCTATTGTTTTAAACATTTTTGGTACCAGTATTGGGTCTGCCGAAATTCGTTTCAGCACGTAATAAATTTCAAAATAGAGATGTCGAATATCAGCTTCCTATGTAAACCCATGTTATCAACAACAAGAAGGTGGAAACTGTCATAAGATCCAAGGAAATGGTTTTGACATTATTCATTCTTGTAATCGTGATTGGTAATGATAAAATGTTTAGGGGTGCTTTTCTGTGTCCAGAATATTGCTCCAAACTAGTCTGCGCTGGTGTTTTGTTTGAGTATTGGTAGTCAAGTAGTTTGGCGTATTGTTTACCCTATTTACTTTGCAACCCATTAAATGTGGGCTTGTAAAACCTTGACCTATTCATAACGGTTGTTAGGACTATGATGTCTCATACAGCAGTTGCAGGAGACTTGATAATATCTATCATTAGATGAAGATGCATTGCAGGGATTTACCTACATGAGGTTATGAAGCATGGCTCGTAAAAATAAAAAATCGAACTACAGATATTCGATTAGCAACACAGGCGAACAAAACGTGAGACTAAGATAAACATGGAGTTTACTTAATTAAAGGTAGAAAATCAATAAAGGCCACTAAATATTCAGCATTTAAAAATCCAGAGCGACCACATATGTACAATTGTGATCGTGTTTGAGACGCATCGTCGGGGTTTTCTGACTCCTAAGCATCTAGTTTACCAATAATAAGTTTTAAATTCCTTAAGCGACGTTAAATTATGTAATAACCAATTTTACATCTTTTTATTACCTCGATGTGTAGAATTCAAACTACACTTGTTTTGAGTTTGGTGTTGTAATCTCAAATAGTACCATTTTGATTAATATCAAGTGCTTCCCTGTGAGAGTACGTTGAGAACCTCATGGTCTCGTGACCATGTGTTCTATGATTTCGTTATTCTAACACCTTTTAAATGATATATCCATCTGTTGGTGCTGCTTTTTCTCGTTCTAATTCTCCAAGCCTTCTAGAGATCCATTATCTCCGAATAGAATAGCTCAGTTAATGGGTTGTGATGAAGATGGTGATACTGCAGATCTCTTAAGTGTGGCTGCAGCTCAGGCGGAATCTAGCAGACTTTTAACTGACGACAATGTCATCCCCCACTCAAACGAGGATGATAGTAGTTCTGATTCCATTGATTTATCTCGAATCAAATCTGATTACATGTCACTCAATGATGAAGCTGAGGAGAAACAAGCTCCTACAGAAGTAGAAATCAAAGCGACTGTTCCTATTATAGAAGATAATATTTGCCCAAAAAAGGATAACGTCACAACCCAATCTTTGCAGAAGGCTTTCCAGTCAGGTGCAACACCACTTGGTAAGCAATATGTATTTTTTGTGTAGTTTGATTGAAAATAAGAGCATAGAAACATGCCATGCTTAGGTGGTTCTATGGATTTAGGCCAACAGTGGCATCAAATGCATTTGTTTATACGTTTGATTTCAAAACTTATAATGCGTGGAAGCTTCACGTAGTTATGTGATTATTTCTTTCTGTTTAAATCCAAATCAAGTCCTGTAAAGATACTTGTATACATAGATTAATAATACCAGTAGTCTAGAGACTTTGTAGTTATTAATATTATTTGAATTATAGTATAAACTAGTAATCTCAGAAACAACGCAATTTAATCAAGTATTAGATGAACACGAACGAATGTATTGTATTTGGAATTCAAAATGAAGCAGCTATCAAGTACAAAGAAATCATTGGTTCATATAAACACCACATTTATATCGCCATTAATTATTCCTGTAATCTCCTTCATATTCTTTTGATTTTATTGGTACGACCAAATGCCTCAAGTTCGCGAATACGTGACGATCGGAGCCATTATATCAATTAGACATGTATATTGCCAGTTTTCTAATTCTCCAAAGAAACTGATAGTGTTGTATACCTTGTATTTAATTGAGATTTGATAAGAATGAACTGTAGTGGATTTTCTACTTTAATATTGTGTAATAAGATCTTGTTTCCTACTTCAAATAACAAGTACGACAGCCCTGCATCGATAAGCATATGTTGTTTTCAGTACTTAATAACCCAAAAATACCGCATATAATACTCTCAGGAACTGCGATCATGTTATTAATCACTAAACAAATACCTTTATTTTAGTCATCTTAAGAGTCACTGAACGACTATTATTTTTTTTATAGATAAAATGTAAAATTAAAGTGGGGTATCTGACCCCTTGAGCTGTTTCATCGATAATTATAACTGTATGTATTAGTCAAAATATGTGACTTTATAGGTTTAATTTTTTCAGATTTTATAATATCTGCAAAACTCGTCGTGTTTTGCTTTTTATCCATCTTTTTTCCAACGTCAGGTTTTCGCGAACGCTTCATGGTATGGAATAGAATCGGTATCGTGACACAGTTCAGGGACACAGGTGAATATCAGGCAGAGGATGATGCTTCAAATCAGTCTTCTGGAGGGAGTATAGAAGTAGAATTTCATGATAATAGTTTACATCATAGTTTGCGGTTATCCAATAGTTCGGGCTATTCTATGGCAGATCTAAGTCTAACTGCCTTGTTGCTAGCATCTAAAGTATGTTGTGCACTTAGGGTTGGATTTCATTATTATCATTATTATTTCTGAGTCATCCAAAACTTATTGTAATATTGAAATGATGGAGGATGTTTATAGTTCAGGATGAGGATTTCAATGGTGTCTTTTTATCTGGACTGTTTAACAGTAGTGGAGCTTTCCTTGTCTTCCTTGACATCATCAGCTCACACTTCAATAAGTTTTGTTGTATTTTTGATCGTTATCAAAGTAATGAGAATCAGAATCGGAAATATATGTTTTTGTTTACAAAACAGTAACTGTCAGGCTTAGACTGGTCTAAACTGTGTACTGCTGTTAACAGCTGTTCTTCACTGCCTCGTTTGAGCATTCATTTGTGTTTATAAGTAGCAGTGAGTCAGTCAGCTACAACGTAGGACCAGGGACATACATGCATCGGTCCAAGTTGCCACACCTCATCAGCACAACAAGATAAACACTAAGCTCATAGAACTAGTTACTTCAATGGTGTGTAAGAAAGAATTAGATCGTAGGAAGAATGATATGGAGCAATTTTAATCTCACAGTTTAAGAGAAGACAAATAGTGTATACACCGACGCCATTGTGATCGATTCAAAACCATGTCACCCAGTGTCCAACCATTGGTTACGATAGTTACGCGGACCCCAACCAAGTAGTCTGCATCTACCAACATGGCTCAGACTAGAAGTCAGTGACTTCAGGGACTGATGCCACGTTTTGGTTTTATATTGCATACACTATAGCACTCAGGTTTGTTTGAATTGTTTTAAATATCCGATAGATTCTTTCAAATATATTATAACTGTATATTTTGTAAAAACCTAAATATGACTAGTAGGTGAAGTGATCGCTGTATATATTTAGTTGATTTAATTTTATTCTGACCACTCACAGTGCATCTGAACTTTCATATTGCTTCAAACTACTAACAGTTTAATAATCGATTAGGAACAAAAGTGATCAATAAACTGCAGTTGTACTCAACAATATTTCTATCAGGACTCATATATTCAGTTTTATCTACTTATAAAATATTACTGTTAGTTAGACAAGAGCTTTGTAGATACGTTATTCGCTAGCAATCGTACTCTAAAACTTTTAATTGAACAAAATCACTGAACTAAACTGTAGTGACTTGATAGTCTCGTAGGCTCTTTTCTTTCGCTGGGTTATTAGCTGGAAACAAGTTTTTTCTAAGATTAGCTATTTCCTAGAATAAATATAAGAAATAAGGTTGAATGTCTGATTGAAATGTTAGTGAAGATGGACATTTTAGATCGGTTCGTATTGGGATTAACAGTCAAAAGTGTTTCATTAAATAGGATTTACTACGGCCTAGAATCTCGTTCATCTGCATCTTAAAAATGATATAAGTTCGTCTGTGTTTGAACTAAAAGGGATGAACTGTGCAATTAACATCCTTATCCATTTATAAGTAGAATACCTGAATATTTAAACTATAGGATTTCAGACAATAATATAATCAATGGTTAATTTTAATGTATGACTTCTGTAGTACCAAAGTGCGTAGTCCGGGTTAATTTATTTATTTAAACACATAAAGGGTTAAAGGATATCTATTATCTACAATTTGCTTAAAAGTTCAGTAAACTAGTTTGTTATCCTCTCCTTAAATGCAGTTAATAAATTTCGTAAAATCCCAATGGGTTGTCATTTTCAATTGTGGCCATCTTTCTAATCTCACAATATTCGAATAGATTTTGGGTAACCGTAAATTATTTAAAAATCTATTCAGATGTTTTTCGCAAGGTTATCAAAATCTGTTGTTTTTCTTGAGAATTAATTGATCGTCTACAGTAAATCTAAATACCTAAGAAACTAGGACTTTTGGAAACCTAAAGGTAACTTCCAATTTCTCAATTTTGACTCCCATAATTATTGCATACTATGCTTTTAAATATGCGATAAGCATAGTTATCATGCTAGGGTAGGTGTCACCTGTCGTCAAAAAAATCTTGTGAACTAGTGATGAAGTATACGACTTTTGAGTTGCTGTTTTTACACCGCCCTGAAATTGACATCAGAACGTTATTAATACGTTTTTATCCATTAATCAGGGATTGCTATAAAATCTAGTTCTCGTCTAAGTTAATGTAACCCATAGTTGTTGCTAAGTTTTTCGCATAGCAGGTTAAAAGCAAATATAGGACAAAAATAGATTGGTTGGAATTCAAACGTCCTTCAGTATTCGTTTTCCAAAGTTCATTTGTTTCAGCTTCACGGCTTTAATTATATGGTAATTTGGACTCAGTCAGTCAGTCAGTCACAACGTAGAACTTCGTACATACGTACGTACGTCAGTTCGAGTTGCCATACCACATCAGCACAGAGATGCAGTTGTCGATTCAAATCCCATAGTGGTAGAAGTAGTAGGAGTATAATCAGAAATCCAAAAAATTAGGGTTTGAAGAAATTATTGAAGGAGTATAGTGCATTGAAATAAATTTGGAAAGAGAAAAAGATAGAGGCATGAGGAATTCAGAAGATTAGAAGTTGGTAGAACACAAAGAGTGGATACACCTTCGCCATTGCAAACGATTTTGAGCCATGTCATTCAAGGTCTCTAACCATCGGTTGCTGTCATCTCGCGAATCCCAACCAGGTAGTCTACACCTACCAACATGGCTCAATCCACTTGCACGTGACTTCATGGATTTATGCCATGTTTTGGTCTGGCCGCCCCTAGCTTTCTGCCAACCTGCTCCTACACCATAAAGCATTGCACGTCGGGGTAGTCGGTGGTTGGGCATACGTAACACATGTCCCAGCCATCTCAACTGATGAAGTTTCACTACTTCATCAATCGATTTGCCATCCTTACCTAGTACCCGTTTCCTAACATCTGCACTACTTACTCGGTGGTTCCAGGATATACGAACAATACTTCGAAGACATCTACGATTGAATACTAGCAGCCTACAAATATCCTCTACTCTTATCGGCCATGCTTCACTGCCATAAAGTAGGACGGAACGAACTGCTGCACAGTAAACCCGTCCTCTGGTTGCTAGACGGATATCTCGCTTACGCCATAAATGATGCAAGTTGGCGTAAGCTAGACGTGCCTTCTGTATCCGTGCTGAGATTTCGTCACACACCAGACCATAAGGGCTGATGAGACTCCCAAGATAAGTGAAGCAGTCAACACGCTCAACTTCTTCACTCCCTATCATTAGTTCAGGTGTCGCTGCAACCCAATCCTGAAGTAACATTTTGCACTTCGAGGGAGAGAATCGCATCCCGAACATGCCTGCATAGTTGCTTATAGTGGTCAGAAGACTCTGTATTTTGTCAGCGTCTTTACCAAATAGAACTATGTCATCGGCGTATTCTAAGTCAATAAGTGAGCCTCCTGGTAAAAGTTCAATTCCTGGAGGTTTAGCTGATGAAAGTGCTATCTCTAAAAGTATGTCAATGACAAAGTTAAGTTTGGGGAGAGTGGACAGCCCTGACGAACACCACTTGAGGTAATCAGTTCTGATGACAGTTCGCCATAGGCTCTAACTCGACCAGTTGTGTTCGAGTAGAGAGCCTTTATGAGGTTAATGTACTTCTTTGGTACTCCTTTCAGTGACAAAAACTGCCATAGAACCTCACGTTCCACGGAGTCAAATGCTGCCTTAAGGTCAATAAATATTACTATTTTGGGACGTCTGAATGTATGTCTATGTTCTAGGACCTGACGTAGGGTGAATATCTGGTCTATGCAACCATGTCCAGGTCGAAAACCAGCCTGGTTTTCTCTAGTCTGCTCTTCACGAGCTTTGTTTAGGCGTCGAAGTATTATTGAAGCTAATATTTTAGACACTATATTAGTCAAACTGATCCCTCTGTGATTGTCACAAGAGGACTTTTGTACTTTCTTATAGACTGGCACAATCAGTGATTGGGACCAGTCAGATGGAATTACGTCCAGTTCCCTGATTCTACCTAAGACCTCAGTCAATCTCACTGCTAGTACTGGACCACCATCTTTAAAAATCTCAGGGGACAACCTTTCAGGGCCTGCTGCTGTCCCTCGCTTCAGATTTCCTATAGCTTTTTCAACCTCGTAGAGGGTTGGAGGACTTACATCAATTTGCCATTCAGGACGACTGGGGATCGTGGGTAATTGAAGTGTGGCTGAATGCCAGTTGAACTGATCCCTAAAGTGTTATGCCCATCGATCCAATCTCCTGGATTGAGAATGAATGATATGCCCATCTTTATCTGAGATGGTTTCACTGATACTTGGGTTCCTAATACCGGTTTCTTTAACGAGTCTGAATAGCTGCCTACTGTTACCTATTGCCGCTGCCTTTTCCATCTCTCTTGCTTTCGCTACCCACCACTGTTCACGATCATTACGTAGGCTTCTTATTAGCCTTCGCTTAAGCTGACTCCGCTCTTCGTTATGTTCAGAGCCAGGTGGGATGAGTTTTCGAGCATCTATCAGTGCGGTAGATGCTACCGAGATCCATTGTTTCTCCCTAACCTTATGGTTTACCTTACTAGCGGATATCACTGCTGATTCCACAGCTTTTCGGATGTCGTTCCACGCTGCCTCGGGGTGGGCATAACTTACATGGCTGCCTAACTGTTTTTCAAGTTGTTCCTGAAATATATTCTTAGCTGGCCTATCATTAAGTAGAACCCTTAGAGGTTTCCTTGCAGTGTCTTTCCTACGTCCAGTAAGACACACAGATACGTGCTCGCACTAGAGCATGATCTGAATCTAAACGGTCGGACTGATGCATATATGTGCTTGGTCCTACGTTCTACATAACTGACTGACTTAATTAATCGGCTTTTAATGTTAACATATACTCGAGTCACTAATTTTCTGGTTTATTTTGATAACATATGTAAAAAGACAATTTATTCATGCTCTAATATAGGTTTTTCATATTGTTTAGGGTTCAGACGACCCCAATCTGGATGATTTGAATGATGATGCGCAAAATGAATTATATGACCTTAGTCGCATCGCCATATTACCACTCGATGTTGGCAGTTCAAACATCGGAGATACCTCTGCAGAATGGACTACAACTCTTCCACCTGGCGAATTATGTGATGCAGTATGCTTAGTTACTGAAGAGGGTAATGATAGGACTGAAAGTCCTGGTTATGCTGTTGTCGCTACCTCAAAGCGCTTGCTGCGCATTTTTACTCAACCTTCCCCTTCTTCATCCGTGGCTCATTCGAATAATTTACATCTGCTTCAGATAAATAAGCTAGGTTTGCCACCCATTAGTCTCTCTGGTCACCACACTGTTGTCTTAGCAAGTCATCCTAGTAATCCTATTTTGGCTGTGGTAACTTGTAATGTAGTTGGAGAATTAGAATGGAGAGTGTTTTACTTGGGAGGAATTATGCTCGGATCCAACCGGACTGCAGCTCCATTATGGATGAAAAGTTCCTTATCTATCTGGCAACATTTGCCACTTAGTCCTCCGTTAAAACATAATACCTCCCTTGACACTTCAGTAGTTCGCTTAACTTGGTTTGGGTTCTCTGATATTGGAGGATTGTTTACATATGACTCTAATGGAGTCGTACGACGACTTATTCATGGCCGTTCCCAAAGACACCCTGAATTTCATTGGGTTCCTATATGTGATACAAGAAGTTTATTAAAGCAAAGCAATAGGCGAACAGATAATTATTTCGTTGTTGGTGTCCTAGAATCTTATGAATCCGTAGAAAATTTGTCTTCTGAAAATAAGAATGATTTGAAATCCAATGTCGTTGGGTTTGGTCAACTTCAAGCAATTTACTGCAAAGCCTCAAAATGGCCAAGAGTTTTTCCACGACCTGTGGTGTCAAATATACCCTTCCGTTTACCTTTATGTTCAATGACTACTGATCAAAGTGATTTGGAAGTGAGTTTTACAAGTACTTGTGAATTATAACGTTATGTTTATCACTTTCTACCATTTAAAGTCAGTATTATGATTTCACATATGCCGAATGATTAATTAGCTTATGATATCGTATCATTACAGTTGCAGCGTGACGTGGCGATCCAAATAAATCTTGACTGGATCATGTTGCGCAACTGTTTTTTTTGTACATTAAAACTTAACATTAATTATATCTCTCACTAATATAATCGGATTTATGGCTTATTTTAATCCTTAGATTACCAGCCTAGTCAGTCTTTTTTGATTTTATAACTTTGGTAAGCCTGCTAAACTTGAGAGAGCCAAACAATTGAAGCCAAAAGTAGTCATATTTGTCCTTTAAAGTTTGTTAAGATTGTCATAGTATCTACTACTACCAGTAACCATGATATTAGTAACACTAAAACGTTTCTAACATTACAGAGCTTAGAAATTTTTAAAAAGTCAAAGCGTAAAGCATTTAACAGGGGTGAAAATGATCTGAAGAAACAATTCAGATATCTTTTCATAGTAGAAAGCATGAGTCAATTGAAGCTAAACCACCATGGAAAACCTGGAAACACTGGACGGCCGTTTCGTCCTATTATGGGACTCCTCAGCAGTGCGCATCCACGGTGGTCTACCTTCAATTGACTCATGCTTTCTACTATGAAAAATACTAAATCTCCACAAAACCCCTTCTGATAATTCAAATATCATTGCCAAGATATATTTCATTCATTCCATGTATCTTAATGTTTATCAAAAGGTACAATGTAAGATTGCATCAAGATCGACAGCATTCCAAGCTATTCGGTTTCACGATCTCTAGTACCCTATCTCAGCGGTTGTATTTGGGCAAATACTAATCCAACACAACTGTCCATCATTCTATGACTTCATATCATAAAATTAACAACCATTCTGCTGTTCTCACTGAAACGATATACCTAGGATGTGCTCGAGCTACAAAAACCGACATTTCAATTATTCACTATACCGAGCAGACATTGTTGAACCTCAGCATTACTTTCACGGTTTTTCTAGCGAACGCAACTAATCTTTTGGAAACGAAGACCGAACTCAAAGTATTCGGATATACTTAGCCGGGAGATAGGCTAGGATTAACAACCACAAAAATGACTGCTCTAACCGAAGCTTTATATACCTGAAATTATCAGATTTATGAAGACTTTTGCTAAAAATTTTCTAGAATAAACTGTTGGGTGTTCATTCAGCATGTCTTTCATCACAAGTTAAACCATTTTTTGGACTGACGTATTCATTTGATATTGCATGGGTATAAGTTTCTCCTAATATACCATTGACTTAGATTAAGTTCTTTGGTAATTATTGATAAACGATTTCTTCCTTTAAGACCACTTTCTCATCAACGAGAAATAAATATTTATTACACCACTAGAGGAAAGCTAGGAGGTGGCCAAACCAAAACGTGCTATCAACCCATTGAATAACTGATTAGTGGATCGATCCGCGTAAGTAGATGCAAACTACTTGATTGGTTTCCGTGTAATAATCTTAACCAACGATAGTTAGAGATTTTGAGTGAACTGTCTGAAAATCGCTCGCAATAACTCAGGCGCATTCCCGATTCGTCTTCCCTTAGATCTTAAGTTTCTGAATTATCTTATACTTGTTTTGATTATTCTACTCATTCACATTTTCCAAGCAAACTATGTTTCCTGTTTTCTGTAACCACTAACACTACTACTCTGGGATTTGTCTTGACAGTTTCATCTCATTGTGGTGATGTGGTGTGACAATTTGAACCTATGTACATATGTGACAGGTTCTCCGTTAAGTTTGGTCGAATGACACCCATCCAGAGGCCTAGAATATATTTGATGGCTTTTTCTTGTTAGTTAAAATGGATCATTTGTTTGAATAATCACTTGTCGAGTAAATTAGTGGTTCAATCCTTGTCCCACCTACTTTGATTTGGGGTTATTTGGTACTGTTGAGTGCGTGCGATGTTATTGTCCATTCGCCTTCGAAATATGAGTCTGGTTATGGTTCATCTTTTCTTATCAACTGTGACTGCATTCTTCAGAATAATCAGTAACGAGATTACAGCGTCAGAGGGGATTGTAACCGAAAATATATTAGTAAACAATACAATTTTAATATAACTTATTTTTTGCCTAATATCATTAAACAGGTTTACTGTTAATATCCTTTTTAAATAGGAAAATTATCTTCAGTGTTTAATCAGTGAGGACTGGCCTATCTGGGGTCCGAATACCACTGATGCAAATGAGGATATATTGTCACATTTGTTATCATTAAATACAAAGTCGCTGACTAAGCGCAAGGCAGTTCTGTTACGTCTTTTCGCTGTGAGTTTTGTTCACTTATCTTTATCTGTTTGTACTAATTTTAGTCATGTATCTAAATATAGATATTCACTGCAGACAGTGTCTTATGTTTTGCGTTTAAAATGTAGAACATATTTCTCGGATGTCTTCTTAAAGATTTGATGAGAAAGAAGTTGCAACAAGACAGTTACTATTACAAATCTTAAAGCTTATTGTGTGGCTCTAACGGGAATAAGTGAATTAGCAATCACAGACACCGTCAAAATTATAAAATGGTAAGAGATCGTTCGAAAACTAACGTGCAGCTTATGGGCGCAATAACTGACCAAAACGTTGAATGTACATCGATTTTCCGACTAACCCCAGACAATGCTATTATGAGATATTAAAGAGATTTGTGTTTATAGGATATGACAATGTAATTAAAATAACTCATAATGTCATTGAATAAGAAAAGAGAATTCAGCGAAGACATGACAATGTCTTAAAAAAGGGATAAGGAATTTGAAGATAATGTTGTATAAATATATGGCAAAAGGTCTTGGGCAATCAAAATGTCATAATCTACTGAAATTATAATCTTTCAAAAATAAGGCAATGACGATGTGGAAAGAAATATTTATTGTTTCTTAATCATCAGCATATGGCACAAAAGTATAGAAATATAAAAATCCAGAGAACATAATGATTAAAAGTGAATTTAAGGGTACTGTAGGACAACGTTAAGCACACTATTTGCTTAGGCTGGAAAACTAATCACTATAACAGTTTCCATGTCATCAATAATTTTTTTTGAATGGAAATTTCAATCCTTCCTTTCCATAATTACTGTTCCGGATTAACTCCTTTTTTGTTTTACTCCATGCAGCTGGCAGCAAAACTCGAATCTGACTGGGCTAGCCTCGCAATCGCTAATATGATGCCAGATGCAGCGACTGTTCAGCTTGCTATTAGATACGCTGGTCGGCTAAGGCGTCAAAACCTCGCACACCGTTTAGCAGGAGTCGCTTTGCAAAAAGAACGCCGTGTATCAGAAACTGTTGAAGTTGATGATTGGGATGATATACCACAGAGTTCAACATTTAAAGGGAAATATAATAGGTACATATATTAATCGATATTTTATTATTTTTGGTTAATATTTTAGTGAGAAGTTTCAATTCACTAAATTACAGAATACTCTTTTGAAACCAATTTATTAATTGAACTACCATCTTAAATTAGTCAAACTACGTGAATTCAAAATCGGGTAGTGTTGATGTCGTTGTGGTGAACAAAAACTCACGTACGGTAAACCATTTTATCATTTTACGCTAAGTCACATAGTATATTTTTAAAACATGAAAAATCATACATTAAATACATCCTTGAATTGTCCTGTACATACTCCATTATTCCTCCAATCATGTTATTATTCCGAATGCTTTTTGTTTCCCTTCTCTATTTCAATTTTCTGATGGTAAACATTCCACTTCCGATTGCTGCTACACACCATTTATATATGTCCGCACCATATCGTAATCTGTGAATCTATTTTGGCCAGTTTCCAGTATCAGGGTTCAACGAACTCTTCTTTTCATGAACAAACTGCATCAAGTTATACAGTTTGCTTTTATTATTATTTCCTTTTCTTCCATGGCCCAGTTTCATATTGTATTCCAGTTTTCAGTTTGTGTCTAAGTGATAAGTACTTGGTAATAAGTTTAGTTTACTTTTGTATTTCTAACACCTATATTTCACATAATGACTAAAGGTGTCCCCAGTTTTCATCGTTTAAGGATTTATAAATCTTACTAACGAACTGAATTGTGGAGACTCCTAACAATTGCATCACTGACAAGAGTATGTATGTTCCTCATCGCTAATTCTAAAAAAAATACTATTAAGAGAAAATAACATACGTGTGTCTTCGTTGTTAATAAAAGAATTTACCGTTGAAACTTTTATACTCATTCAACACTTCGAACAATTGGTTTTTAGGGAGAATAGTCCCATTTGTTGTTGAAACCTTTGCCTACATACCTTATCTTGAGTTGTCTTTGTATTGTGTATTTATGGGTTTCCAAATTTTCCATGCTGGTAAATAAACCAGTCGCAACATTAAGGATGACAGTCTTTTAGATATATTATACGTTTTAAAATATCCTGTCGTATATGTGACTATTACTCTCCATGTATTATTCCTTTGGTCTAATTGTAATAATGTTTAAATCCGTTGCACAAATTGTTAGATAGACTTAAAATACTTAGCTGTGTTCGTTCTGTTTCATGAAGGTGATACTTCAGATTAAAAAAGTAATATCTTTGTATGCGATGAGACTGCAATTTATGGATAAACCGATGAAATTAAGAACATCAAGTCTTGGATTTGGGGATGAAATTCATTCATCTTATAGTGAAACAGCATTTTTGGCATTATAGGTGATGCCAGCTCGTAACGAAAACTTACTTTAGTTTCTAATCTCCATCTTAGTTACCCATATTAATTTATAGTCCCCTTTTGACCTTGGTGGGTTAGTGAGTTGTCTCAAGGTCACTTTGACATCGCTCACAGGTTGTCCGTAAATCATAATCCCACCTTCTATTCTGGATGGTTTGATTTGTCTAGAGTTTTAATATTCCGACCTTGGTAATCGTCTGTTGCTTATGTGATCCTAAGCTAAATTCGACCGTTTTTTATTAGAAATTGGTCAGCAGCATTTTCAGTTGTGCTATATATAATTAATTTCCCGGTTCGTGAATTTGAATTCATTTTTGTTTAGTGCATGCATACACTATGGAATTTAGTCTCATTTCCTAATGTTTTCTAGAGATCCTACTACGTTCTCAGGTCATTCCCCGTCAAACAACCGTATTCATTCTCCTTCAAAGACTTCAAGACCTACAAATGATTCAGATTATCATGATGTGGCGGATACTTCGCTTGTTAGTTCAGGAACCGATGATGGTCATACCGATGTTTCCATTAATAATCTACCTCTAGCAGATTCCGAGTCTCTGTCTCATTCTGTGTTGACTCCCTCTTCACGAAATCCATTCAAAGTGAGTTAATAAAAACATTACTATGTGTGTGCTTTCCAATGCGTGTTCGCATAGATAAAACAAAATAACGTTACCCTTCTAATTGAATGAATTGTTCTAAAGATGTCATAATGTGTGCAAATAGCTTGATGCTTGATGAACATAGTGTTTGTAGTTTCTCACTATTTACAAAACTGTCAAGTTTCGGGATTAGTAAAGACTAGGTTGCTGGTCACGAAACTATCATGGTATGCAATAATTAACCGTAATACCTGACCGAATGAATAAGCAATTGGAAGTAAAAAACCATCATTCAATAAAATGAGTTTCCAGCATGCTAATATTAAGCATTGTAAACTGATCAGTCGGGTTAATTTGCCCCCAAATGCCCTGGTACGGCCGAGAGTGGGGAGAGTCTACTCTCCCTCTCGAAATGCTCTCATATGGCCAGCGAATATATAGCCTCCGCCAGGGAAGTCCTACTCACTGCCTTCTCGTGGCGGGGGTGTTGTTTACGAAAGTGAGAGGACGAAAAGCGAATGTCCGGCGCAATAACCGGATTGGTGGACACGGAGGGTCCACCTAGGGGAGTTGGAAAACCCTGATTCCAAACCAATGGTGCACATGGGCTCCAGTTTCCTGATGGAACGAATGGCGGAAGAACCTGTCATTGGTCAACGACTACCATGGGACTGCATCTCCTCACGATGCTCCACTGCCTTGTGGATCAGACCTTTAGGTCAAAGGCTCCGGGTGTGGCCCCCTAAGAAAACCACCTGCTTCGGTTTGGGCACCCGGGCAGTATCACAGCCCACACACAAATGAATGAAATGACGAACTCTATTGACGATTCTATTCCTGCTCATATTATAAGCAAGACAATTTACGTTATTATTATTATTATTATTATTATTATTATTATTATTATTATTATTATTATTATTATTATTACTTACCATATCGCTAATTCACCCCCTTTTACCCCCAATTTGTGTAACCTTACTCTTCAACTTATGCATCAGCTCGCTCTTGGTGGAAAATCTGTCCTATCTAAACGATCTCCAGTCACTGTCTGGTTGAAAGTGAATGCTTCCACCGATAATGAATACTGAGGCAGTCTTTCTGAAACCCCGTACGCCGTTCAAGCTGGCTTCCTTCAACGTTCGCACACTAATGCAGATCAGACAACAGATAGGGCTGGCTATGTCTTTGGAAGGTCTTAATGTTGACGTTTGTTGTCTATCCGAGACCCGTATTCAAGACTCTAGTGAAGTACTACAAATCCGCTCTCCATCTGTCGCCTCGAAAAGCTTGTTCCACGTGCGCTTATCCGGGGACCCTGTGGCATCTTCGTCTGGTCTTGCTGGCGTTGGTGTCGCACTAAGCGCTAGGGCTGAGGCAGCACTAATCGATTGGTTCCCCATTAACAGTCGGTTATGTGCTGTTATATTAGAAAGTTCCATCAAATTGAGAAGAAACCGGCGTGAGAAACGGTGTCTTTTCGTCATCTCCGCCTATGCCCCGACAGATTGCAGCCCGGATGCAATCAAGGATGAGTTTTACCATCAGTTAACAGTTCTTCTCCAGAAAGCGCGTTCGACAGATATTGTAGTACTGGCCGGAGACTTGAATGCACAGGTCGGGCGTCTAGGCACAGAAGAGAGTCGTCTAGGTGGCCGATGGGGACTTGTTGGTCGCAGGACAGATAACGGGGACCGTTTGCTGCAACTGTGCACAGACCACAACCTGTTTCTGGCCAGCACTAACTTCCGGCACAGTCATCCTCGGTGTGCCGCCTGGCGTCCTCCCTCTGCATCCCAAGCCTGGACTCAGATTGATCACATCGCGATCAGTAACGCTGGCGTGGTTGTGTACAAGACTGCCGCTCCTTTTGGAGTACCTATCTGGAGTCTGATCATGCCCTGGTCTGCGCCAATCTCACCTTACTTTTCAGTGGCCGAAGGATTGACCACCAACAACGGATTGATATTAGTAAACTGGCTGCAACTCCTGTTGCAATAAGTACCGAGCGGAGCTAGCCTCTAGGCTAGCTAACACCCCACCGAAAAGTATAGATGAGCATTGGTTGCATCTCCACGACGCCATGAAAATGGCGAGTAAAGCCGCTTGCGGATTCGCGAAACGTCCCGCTTACAAGCACTGGGTTTCTTCTGGCTCCTTACAACTGATGGAAGCCCGTCGGTCTACTCCGGGTGACCGTGAGTTTGACCACAAACGAAGGCTGTTACGTAATGAAATTGGACAAAGCTTGCGTAAGGACCGGGAAGCCTGGTGGTCGGAGTGTGCTAATGAGATGGAAGCAGCAGCTGCATCTGGTAACTGCCGGAAGCTCTTCCAACTCATCCGAGCCACTGGCAGCAAGAAGTCTGGTGTGAGTGAAACAATCTGTGAGGATGATGGGATGCCAATCACTAATATCTCTCGACGTCTTGGACGATGGGCTGAATTTTTCGAAGGGCAGTTCAACTGGCCTGCTGCTCCGGCAACATCAACCAGCTTGTCCTGCCCCCCATGGCCGGTGACGACTGTTCCACCAAACGAGGCGGAAGTTCGCAAGGAACTCCAACTCTTGAAGCGCTACAAATCACCTGGCCCAGATGACTTACCTCCGGCTCTTTTTAAAGATGGTGGCGACCTTCTGACTAAGGAATTGACTGTGTTGTTTGGAAAGGTTTGGGAGCAAGAAAGTGTTCCAACATCATGGAATGAGTCAATAGTCGTCCCTATCTTTAAAAAGGGTTCGCGTTGTTCCTGCAATAACTATCGGGGGATAAGTCTACTTCCGATTGCGTCCAAACTATTGGCTTCTATCATTCTTCGTAGGTTGTTTAAAACCCGAGAACGATTGACTCGCGAGGAGCAGGCTGGTTTTCGTTCTGGTCGAGGATGCATTGATCACATCTTCACCATCCGCCAAATGTTAGAACACCGTCATACTTATCGCAGGCCAACAATCGTAGTGTTTCTTGATATCAGGGCTGCCTTCGATTCGTTGGACAGGACTGTTCTCTGGGATTGTCTATTGAAGAAGGGTGTGCCTGAGAAGTTCATTAACATCTTAAAGGCCCTGTATACGAACACCTCAGGCAGAGTGAGGGCATACAACCACCTTTCTCCCTTGTTCCATTCGAGCAGTGGGGTTAGGCAGGGTTGCCCGATCTCACCATTCCTCTTCAACTTTGCCATCGACGACATCTTGGAAACAGCTCTGATGGATGTAAGTAATGGCGGTGTGGATATGTTGCCTGGAGAACGACTTCTCGACCTTGAGTATGCGGATGATATTGTCTTACTGTGCGATAATGCCCAAGGCATGCAATCAGCACTTAATCAGTTGGCAATCAGTGTCCGCAGGTACGGCATGTGCTTTGCACCCTCCAAGTGCAAAGTACTTCTACAAGACTGGCAGGATTCTAATCCTGTACTCACCCTGGATGGTGAGCAGATCGAAGTAGTTGAGAAGTTCGTGTATCTAGGTAGCTATATAAGTGCTGGTGGTGGCGTGAGTGATGAGATTGATGCACGTATAAGGAAAGCCAGATCGGCTTATGCCAATCTGGGCCATCTTTGGCGCCTTCGTGATGTTAGTCTGGCTGTAAAAAGTCGGATTTACAACGCGTCGGTGAGAGCAGTTTTGCTCTATGCTTGTGAAACCTGGCCTCTCCGAGTTGAGGATGTTAGACGTCTCTCTGTGTTCGATCATCGTTGTCTCCGAAGGATTGCTGACATCCAGTGGCAACACCATGTTAGTAATGCAGAGGTTCGGCATCGTGTGTTCGGGCACAGAGACGATAATTCAATTGGTGTCACCATCTTGAAACACCGACTTCGGTGGCTTGGACATGTTTTACGAATGTCGTCCCAGAGACTTCCACGTCGTGCATTATTTGCCGACCCTGGGACTGGTTGGAAAAAGCGGAGAGGAGGTCAGTGTATGACATGATGTCGTGGCATGAAAGAGAGCTGCAAAGGGCTAGCTTCTGTTGGTCCTTCACGACTCCCTGGCTGGGGTCCGAGAGATGGTGCAACACAGTGGCTAGAGACGTTATCAGATGTGGCTCAGAATAGAAGCCAGTGGCGATCCTGCTGCAACCTTCTTTTACTTTCTACATAAAGAGTGGTTCTAACTTTCTTAACTGAAAGAGTCTTCTGGTTGTACATTTTAGTCCGCCTTATCTTTTCATCCCTTCTCTTCCTACTTTCATTATTTTGTGTGGCGCATATGTACCTGGTGCCCTTTTGTACCAATATATATGTGTTTAAATAAATAAATAAAATAAGTAAATAATTTCCTAGGATTCGCAATCAAACATATGTATGACGTTGCTTTCAATTTTGAATGGAAACTGAGCCTCTTTGGATACATCAGTTTTGTTAGATATACTAAAGTAGAATGTTTGAAACTAAAATCTACCGACTAGGTATGGTAGTAGACTACCTTCCAAACTGAGATTTCAAAGTAAAATTACAAAGCTTTTCATTACTTATAAACAGCAATTGTATTTTGTGTGTTGCACAAGTCATATATATGTGAGGACGACCCATGGGTGAACTGGAGTAAGTTCTAAGAAGCTCAGAAGGAGCCGAAGATATTCCATCCAATCATCTTTTGGAAGAATATTCCAGAATCTCTACGTGTAGTTTCACTATCGGACAAATGCTAATAACCCCTGTATGCTGATTGATGGACCATAATATTGATTTCGTTTCTACTAAAAACTATAAATAGGTAACAGTTTTGTACCATAATTGACACTGGAACAGCATTCCTTTCACGCGTCCTCTGTCTTATTTGCAATCTGGAAGGGTTCTAGCGTTCGGGTATTGAAGTTGTACGCAATATATTAAGAATCGAAGCTCTAGATATAGCAATATATTTTATTTCTAATCTCTAAGATGAACATTTCTTATAAACTATCATTATTGTTTTAGTCTTCTCATGATCCGAAAGAAATCACACCCCGTTCAATCGCTCATGGAACTGAACTCTTAGATGTTTGGACACCTAAGACGACTGCTACAAACACCAAAGTTTCTCAGAAGCCTAATGTCAACAAAACTCAAAACAACAAAAAGCGTTCACTCGCCGTGAGTATATTTAACCTTGTATTACCAGTCAGTAAATAATTTATCCCCATCAATTTAACAAATATTGCATTAAGTTGTTGCTTGCTCATGAATGTTGGTATGGTAATCAGTCAGCCAGTCAGTCACAACGTAGAACTTCGTACGTACGTCAGTTCGAGTTGCCATACCACATTAGCACAGAGATGCAGTTGTCGATTCAAATCCCATAGTGGTAGAAGTAGTAGGAGTATAATCAGAAATCCAAAAAATTAGGGTTTGAAGAAATTATTGAAGGAGTATAGTGCATTGAAATAAATTTGGAAAGAGAAAAAGATAGAGGCATGAGGAATTCAGAAGATTAGAAGTTGGTAGAACACAAAGAGTGGATACACCTTCGCCATTGCAAACGATTTTGAGCCATGTCATTCAAGGTCTCTAACCATCGGTTGCTGTCATCTCGCGAATCCCAACCAGGTAGTCTACACCTACCAACATGGCTCAATCCACTTGCACGTGACTTCATGGATTTATGCCATGTTTTGGTCTGGCCGCCCCTAGCTTTCTGCCAACCTGCTCCTACACCATAAAGCATTGCACGTCGGGGTAGTCGGTGGTTGGGCATACGTAACACATGTCCCAGCCATCTCAACTGATGAAGTTTCACTACTTCATCAATCGATTTGCCATCCCTACCTAGTACCTGTTTCCTAACAACTACATTACTTACTCGGCGATTCCAGGATATACGAACAATACTTCGAAGACATCTACGATTGAATACTAGCAGCCTACAAATATCCTCTACTCTTATCGGCCATGCTTCACTGCCATAAAGTAGGACGGAACGAACTGCTGCACAGTAAACCCGTCCTCTGGTTGCTAGACGGATATCTCGCTTACGCCATAAATGATGCAAGTTGGCGAAAGCTAGACGTGCCTTCTGTATCCGTGCTGAGATTTCGTCACACACCAGACCATAAGGGCTGATGAGACTCCCAAGATAAGTGAAGCAGTCAACACGCTCAACTTCTTCACTCCCTATCATTAGTTCAGGTGTCGCTGCAACCCAATCCTGAAGTAACATTTTGCACTTCGAGGGAGAGAATCGCATCCCGAACATGCCTGCATAGTTGCTTATAGTGGTCAGAAGACTCTGTATTTTGTCAGCGTCTTTACCAAATAGAACTATGTCATCGGCGTATTCTAAGTCAACAAGTGAATCTCCTGGTAGTCAAATGCCGACTTACGGTCGAGAAGTACTGCGATTTCGGGGCGTCTGAATGTGTGTCTTTGTTCTAGGACCTGACGTAAAGTGAATATCTGGTCTATACAACCATGTGCAGGTCGAAAACCAGCCTGATTTTCTCTAGTCTGCTCTTCACGAGCTTTGTTTAGGGCAGAACAAGCACTATTAGAATTTATCCCCGTTAAAAGTCACCTGTGTGTTGTTCGGTTAAATGTCTCCGTAAGAACTCGGAAGGATAGGGACACACGTAGTTGTCTTTTCGTCGTTTCTGCCTACGCTCCAACGAACAGGTAATGGCGATCGTCTGTTGCAACTATGCTCAGACAATTGTTTATTTTTAGCAAGCACTAATTTTAAGCATAAGGAAAGACATCGTCCAACATGGCGACCACCTGCACCAAACCAACGATGGACTCAAATAGACCATGTTGCCATCAGTTATCGTTGGAGAGGCTCGAAAGAAGATTGTCGCTCGTACTGAAATACATGTTTAGACTCTGATTGCGCTTTGATACGAGCAAGCATTTATTTGCGCCTCACTGGACGCAGAAAAATTACAATAAGAAAAGGGGAAGTTTAGTGTTCAAAGTCGAGGTGGGAGGAGTAATAGGAATTGAAGGAGGAGATTGGTTATGAATACAGTGATCTTGAGTGCTGTTAGAGGTATGAGGGCAGTTATCACTTCCCGGTTGCCTACACTGTGGAAGGGTTTTTCTAGAGGTACCTGAAAAGGAAATTGGGTTAGAAGTGGTATTAATGACCTGAGAGCATGACCGCAGTGCCCAAGTGACAACTGCTTGAGGTCGGTCACACACGAACATTTTGTGGGTAATTTTCGTATTAACTCCGTACTTGTTGGGACCTTACCGCCGCAGACGGATATCCGTGGGATAAGGCGAGGTGTGCATTTCTAGGGTCGATCTTTTCTAACCCCACTCCCTCCTTGTGGGAAGACAGCATCGCTATTATGCTGGTTGTCTGAAGGAAACACCCTACTGCCGTCACACCTCTGTACAATCAGCAGTACGACTTTGCCTTCGGGCCTTGGGTTTAGCTGCTTTTAGTCTTACCGCTCTTCAACCAACCTGTCTGGCATGGTAGGACCTTGAGGAACGATTGTTCCAGCCAGCATAGCTCGATTGGTTCATCACGATAGGCAAGCCCGACCACCACGTCAAGGTAGCAGCAACGGTCGGGCTTAGAAATGCATCAAGCAATTTTAATCTCACAGTTTAAGGGAGGAAAAATAGTGTTTACACCTACACCATTGTGATCGATTTTGAGCCATATCATTCAGAGTCTCCAACCATTGGTCACGATAATCGTGTGAATTCCAAAGAAGTAGCTATATAGAGGTTGGTGAAAACGTCCTACAACGAGGTCTGAATATTCACTAAGAAGTTTCGACAAGGAGTACACTGCATTTAACGATTGTCTGTGAATGAATGGATACATTCAATCAGTTATGAATAAGTATGGTACTGAATATCGAGGTAAGATGGGAAAATACAAGTGCAAAATGAAGGATGTTTTTATTCGATCGTCATTCGAAAGTGATCAGATATTGGGCGAAATGAAGCAAAGATTAAAAGCAACTTTAAAAATTAGATTTCTCTTGCGAATTTGATTTCAACATGTACAACATTATGTCCAACAATACAACAACAAGAGCAGATAAATATGTCACATGTTACCTTCCATTTACAAATCCATGATTATAAATCGATTTGCTGGAGGATAGGATCTTGTTAGAAGCGTAAAATGATACATTGGTTTATATCTATCGGTTGTCTTGTGTGATTTTGATGAAAGATTTTAGTTTATCTATTCCTTATGCCTAAAGATCATATATATCTTAATTCTCTTGATCATTTTCAACTGAAAATCAGTAAAAACTTTGTTCTAACAAATTGATCGTATTGAAATTTCTTATATCACTTTGAATCCTTTATTGCATCGTTTGTTCATTGAAAATGTATAAAAATAATCTCCTTTTTCATTGTTTATAGTCATGTCAACGATCTAAATTACCGAAAATGAAATCTGTTACTATAGCAGAGTAAGTTTTTTTCCACACTCATATGACTTCCTATGGTTATTTTAAATTTTCATATTTAATCGTTTCTTATTATTTAATTCAAACATTTTGGTAGCGTTGATCAAGAATTCACTGATTGGTTTGAAGAAAATCGAGATACTTTGGAGGAAAGTTATCCAGAAGTGTCAGTTGAGGAGCTTGTTCGCATTGGACAGTCTGAATATGTAAGTGAATGATGAACTTTAACTAACTGTACTTGTTATCCAAGACTATCGTAAAGCATGATTTTATTTATGTGTGCCGATGAAATTTTAAAATATGTTTCGTATATATTAAATGCTTATTGTATTTGGGAAGGATTTCGATTTCGCCTTTGTGAACGTCATGAATAATAAACGTTGCGATTAAAAATAAAAGATAATCACACAATCGCTAACCATTATTGTTCTATTTAATATGGTTTCATTCTGTATTCCTTTGTAAATATCGTCCACGTAACTCACGAAATTTCTAAACAACAGAGATCTAGGTATCAAACGTCTATCGTTATTCATTCATCCTAATGTCCCCAAATGCCCCGGTGCGGCCGAGAGTGGGGAGAGTTCTCTCTCCCTCTCAGAATGCTCTCACATGACCACGCAGATATAGCCTTTGTCAGGGAAGTCCTACTCACTGCCTTCTCATGTTGGGGGTGTTGTCTACGAAACTAAGAGGATGAAAAGCGAATGTCTGGTGCTTTAACCGGATCGGTGGACACGGAAATTTCACCTAGGGGAGTTGGAAAACCCTGATTCAGAACCGATGGTGCACATGGACTCCAGTATCCTGAAGGAACAAATGGCGTAAGAACCAACCGTTGATCACCGGCTACCATGGGACTGCATCTCCTCACGGTGCTCCACTGCCTTGTGGATCAGATCTTTCGGTCAAAAGCTCCGGGTGTGGGCCACTAAGAAAACCACCTGCTTTAGTTTGGGCACCTGGGCAGTATCACAGCCCTCAAGCAAATCGAATGAGATTTGTATGGCGCATATGTATCTGGTTTCCATCCTAATTATGTTTTTTTCCTAAAAGTTACTTATAAGTGTTTGTGAAATAAACTTCGAATTTTCTGACAAAAGTCAGTCATTTTTATAAAAATACATCTTTGATCATAGTTGACTTTTAAGATGTTTGGGAATATTTGTAGATGGACATTTACCATTTTTGTTGATTAAATGTAGTACTTCAAAGCTGAGGACATTCAGATAACTAAAGCTTCTGATACCATTGGTTCTCATTAATTCTTCCACACTAAGAGAGTGAAATCTATTTTGTTTCCTTGCAACTAAACAGATACATGGGGCCTTGATGGCTTGACGAATAATATTATTAATAATCTCACAGATTTTCATCTTAAAATACCGATTGTTACTCGTATACTTATTATTGATTTAAACACCGAATTACTGGTACAAGTGGGCACCAAATTAAACAAGAAAATTATATTGTTAAGAGGTGAAGGAAGGAAGCTGAGTTTGATAAGAAAAAAACAGTAGATGAAGCAGCGGTGTTCACATACAACTGAAAACGAATTTCTAAGTTTAAGAGATTCATCTCACTTTTGTGAAGAAGAAAAAAGGAAATTACAGCTGATTCACCATCGACTTCTACTCGTATCTGATAAAGTTCGAAGCCAATGAGCTGCAATATATCTCGGACGCCACACACAGAGTCGTAAGAAACTAACAAATCCCATTCCTGTATAGCTTCCTTTTGTACCATACCACCATGTCATAAACTGATCACCTCCCTGCTATTTCTAATGAATTCCAGCATCACCGAATGAAGCACGATGTAGAATTCTTCGTGATGGCATTCGTCGCGTATGTCTAACCTACTGAAACATATGTCTTAAGATAGCGACACTAACTGAATTATTGTCACTGCCTAAACACACATTCCAGAGTCTAAGCATTACTAACATGGTATTGAAACTGAATGTCAGGGATCCTTCAGAGACAACGACGGACGGACACAGGGTTGCCTAACATACTCAATTCGGAGAGATCAGGTTTCATAAGCAAAAGGCAGAAGCGATAGGTTGTAAACCTGACTTTTACAGCCGGTCCCAAAATATGTGTGGAGTCACGGGCTTCTGACAGTCTTATAAAAGTACTCCGCATTTCGGAAATGCAATGTACTTGTCATCGCTGCGAACATTGATTGCCAACTGACTAAGCACGGATTGCTTGGCCTAAGTATCATTACACAATAAGACAATATCATCTGCATAGTCAAAATCAAAACGTCATTTTTCAGGTATTAGATTCACACCATCACCACGTAATTCCATCAGAATTGTTTCCAGAATGTCATCGATGTCAAAGTCGACGAGAAATGGTGAGATTAGGGAGAAAGACAGGTGGTTGTATTTCTCCACTCTACATGGAGTTTTATTATTACTAGGATCACAGTTTAGATTAGAGGTTTACAGTGTAGAATCTCGTACACTATTCACACAATTACGTATTTGCTGCTCTAAATTTTCAAAGCGCTGGTAATTTTACTATAATAAGACATCCTCATTGACAATCAATAAAGTTTGCATCTATATGAAGAGTAATTACTTAACATGACTCTATTATTTATCACCCCGTTTGTAGTATTGCCGTCCTTTAAATACAAGTTGTCGGTAGATAAGTAGATAGGCATAATGTAGAATGTCACTTTGTCGTACAATGGGACACTGTTTAAATAAGAAAGTAACATGAAATTCAGAAAGTGTATTGAGATGAGACGTGTAAAGAAATGATATTTAAATGAATGATATATTTAGAGAAATATATGGACTACCTTCTGAGAAAACAGTGTTTTCTTCATCTGAAATTCCAATTCATAAACAGCAACTTTCCGATTTCCACTTCCTACTTTCAACTACTATTTCTGAGGTTCGAGTACCGCTCTACCTGCGTCAGCTCGAGATACTGGTTAGTGTCACAAACCTTCACATTTGTATTGTGGCACGAATGTTTACATGTTAACTCAGTTATATTTTTTTCAATTTCATGATTAAATAGTAAACAAATAGCTGTAATTCCTATGGATATATCTAAAGTTTGTTTATTTTTATTCATTCCATATTAGCGTTCCATAAAAAGTCAAAAAGACGGTGTTTTTGATGGAAAAGATAAGAAAAACCTACTACAAAATAATGTCAAACGTCCATTAAGTGAAAATGATGATTTAATTCAATGCAACTCCAGTGCTGCAAAGAGAAGACTATCTGAATTTGAGAATGATGTATCTAAAAGAATATCGTCATTCGCATTCTGTCAGAATTCTTCAAAATAATAAAGATAACATATCTAATTTCAATTAAATTATGTGGCGTCACATTTGTATATTATGTTTAAACCGGTTTATTGTATCAATTGTTATAGAGCAATTTCTTCCTTTAAAAGGTGTAGTTTGTACTATCAAACCCATCTCATATCTCTAAATTATTTTGTTTCATAAATTTTTTGTATACATTTTTTTACTAGAAAATGTAATGCTTACCTTTGCTTAAATTTGTATCATATAAACTACCATGAAATACTGTTATGAATTTTCCTATCATCTGATCTTCAATTTCTGTACACAGTGTTTATTTAGGTTTAGCACTCAGAGTAAATCAATTCTACAAGAAGTGTTACAAACACCTCTAGCTTTTAGCTGTTTCACTCTATTTTTCCACTATCAAATTTCGTCTCCAATAACTTGTGATTGTTTCTGGGTATGTGAAATGCTTAACTATTCCAAAAAGTGAGAAATCGAAGCTTCAGTTCTAAGAAGTAGTGACATTTGAACTCGTTTTTAAAGAGTACTTACTTCAAAACGTAATCTTCAGTCGTCGGAAATTTTGTTTAGTTCTATTTAATGGATCGTAGACTTTTTTCGATGTGTTAAATATATAATCATGGCTGGCATTCGATTCGCAACAAAATGTGACTATCAGAATTATGTAGTTAGCAATAGACATTCCATTGAGAGACAACACAGTTTTAGGTTATGAGTACTAATGACAAATACGAAGCACTAGTTTCTGCCTGGCCCTACACATCACTATTCGACCTACAAAATTTACATATTTAGGTTCATACAGGAATATTATTACTAGTTTTTTTGTGTCCATATTTTTTGGTTGGTTTTTTCTCAGAAAAGCGAATCTGCTTCATTACATCAATTTCATAGGCCAGTGAAGACTTCCTTCGTAGACTATTTATAGCTACAAATATATTTCTTCAAAATATGGACGTACTACATTTTGAATAAATATCAACGATCCTAGGAGAATAATATGAATTCATTTATTTCGCGGTTCCTCCTCAGCCACTTATGACCTAGAAACAATAGTGGCAATCACCAAGAAACGAAACAGGTATTCGTATTTTATCCGAAAAGCCAGAAACAAAATTGAGATGTAAAATAATAGACAACAATAATTGGAAGGATTAAGAGAACGTTCGGATATTTTTTCCCTTACAGGTTTAATACATAATTACTCTGGAAGACAAAACTGGAAAGAGCAAGAAAAGATAATTTTCCAAAAGTACTTATTATCTTGCGGGACCTTTAAAACATTAACCTCATGTTCACTGTAGAACAACAGCCCTACTGAACACTTGTTATCTTCGTGGTCATTCATCTCAAAGAAAATCCCACAAAACATATGGGAAAGTGTGAACTGTTGGATTCCAGCTAAATAATGAATGTCCTTGGCGAGGTTAGTGTTCACTTCTGATGAGTCCTAAATGGCTTAAAACAGTCGTGATGGTCCAGTGTGTGCTGATTTTCAATGGCTTTGCAAAGAGGATCGATTCGCAATGGAAATTACTTTTAGCATACTCACTGTATGAAAAATTCAATACTCCTACCTTTTTTTAGCATTTTTGAAACTAATAATTTAACCCACCAAGATCAAGTTTGCGTTCTTAGCTTTGAGTCACATTTTCTGGAGTAACTAGTTGGTTAAGAATATCTAAGATTTCTAGAAATATCGCGAAAAGTTAGCCAATCATTTTCGTCGAATAAAGAACGCTTGTACACTGACATCAATTAGTTATAGAAATGTTTATCAGCGGCCACAATGTAATATATATATATATAGCGATTAATTAGATTCGGTTATTATATTAATCGACAACATGACGCAATTTATTGTATCTCAATCGAATTGTCTGCATCATAGACTGGGTTTAAGAATTTAATTTGTTTTTAAAACTTAATTAATTTTGAAGGGTTAAATGAAGAATAGTTGAAGCTCTGGAAATAGACATACAATTATTATTTTTCAAATTACGAATTCTCTTTAGGAGCTATGAAGAAGGGGGATTACAATTATCATTTGTATATGTATAGTGATGTTTAATTCGGCTGGATATTGTTTTGACTACCATCTCCAATTTTCATAGGATTAATATTCAACGTTGTAGTTAACCTGTCATGAGTCGAATCACCTAATGCAACGGATATCCATGTTATTATTATGAATGCTGTACGACAAGCATCAAGTATCTGCCATATTTTAAGAAAATTATTTAAATCAATTTGTGTACTCAATAGGTATCTTATTTCATCTTCAGATTTATAACTATTCACATGAAATATATAATCAAACCAACCCATCGAATTGTGTATTACGAAAGCGATCATATAAAATATGATAGCCATTAGTCCATTCTAATAAAAAAGAAAAGAAGATGATAAGTAAGTTGTAAATTTTGAGAAAGAGGTTGGATTTACAAACGAAAGTCTACTGCTTCTTATTTTGAAACGATTAACTAGTATCAGCCTACATAATATTCAAGCATCATACAATACTTACACTTCGTATTGAATAATGACTATTAAATTTTCACCGATATACTGTAAAATAATGATAACCGTCATATATCTTGTAAGGCGCTTTTTATTTGAGTCGGTTAACATCTAATTATTAACTTCGTTTAGTTATCAATAATCAAAGCTAAATTGTGAACCCAACTGCGTATTAATTTTAATTTAATTGTGTACAGGATATGTGCCACACACTTTTGTAAGATTTATTAATATAATGTGACTGCATAAGCCAAAGTAAATGTAGTGAAGTTCATACCCGAAATTCTCTGACTCATAAGTTATATGTTTTGTTACTCAGTGACTACCGAATTTCATGTACGTAACGAAAGTCTGTTTTTCTAACGATTCTCATTAATCGATAAATGCAGTGCTGTTTCCTGTAATAAATCTTACAGGCTGCCTACAGTTAATTGATTAATGTTATACAACGACAGATTTAACATAGGTGTACGGAAACGGTAAGCGAATTAGTTAGCAACTAAAGGTGATAATGAAACTAGAATTATTACCTCAGCAGAATGATTCCCAAAATATTATCAGTAATAGATACTGAACATGACGAAGATAACACCGAATAATTTACGATGTTATATATACCGATTTCGGTGACCAAGAGATCGCGAAACGATAAATTCCCCTGCCTTATCTTTTTGTAAAGTAGTAGCTTTGATAAGTCATAGCACTTACTAAAATAGAATATTTGTCGTTTTATAAACTACAAAAAATAATCGTCTAATTATTTCATTACCAGTGTTTTTAGGACAAGTTCTACCTTTCGACTAGGGTCATGAATTGATCAGTGTTTGACCACCATCGAAAACCTGGAGGCACCGGACGGCTGTTTCGTCTCAGTATGGGACTCCTTAGCAGTGCACATCCACGGTCCCGCACGCGGGATTCGAATTCAGAAACTTCGGTCGTGAGCACGGATGCTTGACCTCTGAGCTGAGGGATCGTGGATGTGCACGGCTGAGGAGTCCCATACACAGACGAGACGACGTTCTATTGGTTCCAGGTTTATGATGGTGGTTTAACATTGATTGACTCATGATCTAAATAAAAACTCAATAATCTCCACAACCATATACTGATATATCTTTGTCTTCTATTTGTCTAATCGTATTCCGATCAGCTATTCCTCACATGGTAAAAAGATCTTGATGATAAAGCTGGAAAAAAAGAATACGTGGAACATTTAGAGGTATGAAAAATTCTGCTTTTCATCTTGACTAAACAAATGTAACACAGGGAGTCTCAGTTATGTTGACGTAATGTGTTTTTGGAACTGGACTCATTTTTCTGAGGCAAATTAGTTGACAAAAAAACTATAGTAGGTAAAATAAAACCCCTAGTCCTATAATCGAGTTAATAGAAGGACTTGTAACTGAGTGATTATCGGTACGAATAGAACCATATTTTGTAAACAAATATTTTAAGTAACTAGCAATAACCACCTGGAGTTTAACACATTTCCGAATACAATTCGTTGTTGGTCTTCCTAAATCGAATTTTCCGAATACAAAAACACCTATCAAAGCTAACGATGTATAAAACGTAATAGAGATTGAACGTGCATAAATTCCATAATATTTCAATAATGGCAAATAACCATCACCATAATTATAATCCCAAGAACCATCGCTTTTAATTTGTCTTGGATTAATTAATGATTGTACGAATAGTGTATGCACTAAACTTGCACCAGCCAATAAGCCAAATAATGTAAATGTCAAAATTTGAAGTGTTTCATGTATGCTGATAACAAAATGTAATCCTGGATTGTTATGCGTATACATCAGTTCTTGTTTGTCATTTAGTCTTTTAACTGTAGATTCTTCATTTCTTTTTATAGGCATATTTTTCTCATAATCCTTAATTGGATGAGAACGAAAGCCACTTCGATTTTCAACATAAACGTTTGGAGTAAACTGTCTTTCAGAGAAATTAATTGAAATATCACCTATAAATGAATGATAACCATAAGAGAATGTATTTGTTGTGCAAATCTTACACTATGATAAGAACAATGTGATCATGATTTAATTTTAGAAGTGTAGTGTTCTAAGTCGACGACAAATCAATTCACTGTACTTCTGGGATGATATTTTTCATGCGAAGTTGCATAATCAAATGCACATATTCAGATTAAAGTCATGTACTTTATATAACAGTTAATACTACAACTACTACTATTTATCTAGGCAAAGATTAAAAGTCGCTATATGCTGATGGAAATTTGTTCTCTGAGCTGGATCAGAAAAAAATTATGGACAGATATAGGACTAAAACTCAAATCAATAGGAGATACGATCAAGATAAAGAAGTAAACAATGACAGGTTGAAGGTTAACAATAACCAATCAAGATTGTGGTCTACAGGATAAGCTGGGAGTAATATGTGGAGAAACTCGGACACTTCACTCCTTGGAGTTTATGCTGATGATGTCGTTCAGAAGAACGATGAAAGCTCCAGGACGAAACATCGAGCTCAGTAAATAAAACCACCGAAATCATCCACTTGAGATATAAATCTTATCTATCAAGGCACTGTTTTCTACATCTGACTTCACTTAATGGTTAACCGTTTGTTCTTTCATTGGTTATAGTATTTTGATTAGAATTTTGTGTGCTAATAACTGCTTTGAATTGTACTTTTTGGACCCAGTTATTAGCTCAGTTTTTTAGTCTTTTAATGTTTTTCTCCATTCAAAATATATGTATTGTTCAATTCAATCATCTCATTCATTTTAATGATCCTATCAGCTGACGTAGTATAACTGATAACTTGCAAAGTAAGGGTTAATACTGAAATACCGGTACATGAAGTGGGGTTCAAGTATGTGTACCACAACTCTAAATTTGGCATTTTAATACTTTCATTTGTTGTATTGCATATTATAAATGGCTTGAGAAGTTATTATTTTTTAGAGTATCAATTGCATACTACGTAATATGCGAATTAGTGATTGCCAGAACTAACTAGTACTCAATCTAATAGTCACGATGAAATCAGAAGTGAAGACGGAGAGTACGATAAGCTCGTTAAAATGTGCTGTACTAAGGTTGTAATGGCGCGACTAAGTATGCATGACTCAATTATTACTTAGCAGAAGCAACATGGAAATGCTATTTTTAACATAAATCATTAGTATATTAGTCATCTGGATTGAACAATATGAATCTCATTAACATCACTGCAGCAAAAAAATAGTGAAACTTGAACTCCAAACGTCTCCAATAGTCTATACTTCGCAATAATAAATCCACGTATTGTATACTTCAAAACTCTATCTCTTCTGCCATACAAAACTATACTCATTGATCATGTACTAAAGTGTATAATTGAACCTGTTAATCTTCCTGAAGACAACACACTGTATTTTACTTAAACTATCTTTAGATAACTGTACTTAAATTCTTATTGTATCACCGGCCAAAGGTGCTTTCCGTAAGGATCAGACAGTATACAAAGAATCAGCTAAATTCTAAGGTCAGCTACCAACGATTACTATTGGAAAAGTATGAATTTAAGTGTTAGTAATTTTAATCAAAGCAAACTGCAAGCAGCCGAAATCTTTATTGTGAGAGTCATATGATTAATTACATGATATAAATTGAATCAAATGATGAGTTTAAATAAACTGTAAGTATCCTGCACTAGTATTTAGCCTAACATTTCAAAAACCAATATCCCCGTTATACTTTCTGTACGTTACCGTTTTAAACTTTTAAGAGATCATACAATGTAAGACAACAAGTACCTCAGTGCTCACTTATTTTATGTAGTTACTTGAGTGTTATCTGATTTTTAGATAAACCGTTAATGTGACTGAAATTCTCAATTCATTGATATGAGATATTCAACCTGAGTGATAGAACCACTTTTTATCTGAATGTGGGGATATCCATCGTTACGAACGGAATCACAAAATTTATTCAATTTAAATGGTCAGCAGAATGTCTCATTTGTAACAACCTCTATTCTATCACAATTCCCTAACTATTATTCATCTGTAAGATATGATGAACAAATCTTTATAGATAGATACCAATCAAATGTGATTTTCTTATCGGATTATGTTGTAATAATGCATTTATACTTATCAGTTCACAGTTGTAGTGTGTCATAATCTAATTCATAATTTATGGTAAAGCTATTGTTACTATGCTAACGACTTACCTCGGTTATCCATAAATGGAATCTCCTTTGCTCCAGTCACTAGGCTGTTTCTTTTTTTATTCACGTTTTCTGTTTCTGATGCTATTGTTACATCGTCTCCTAAAGTCTCCAATATAGGACCTATATCGCTGTTTTTCACTTTTGAGCTCCTTCTACCCTTATTTTTTCTCAATATTTCCGAGGTATTAGCTTGAACCGTTGATCCAATAGTTTGTTCCATCACTCGTTTGCTAAAATTCTATTCAAAATCTGATTTTTAGTATACACAAATTAAACATTTTGATAACCCTCCAATGTTTAAATATTGAATACATGAACAGGATGTTATAAGCATATCAAGATTTTCTATTTTTTAGGAACGATTACCACTACAATCAATACTAATCGAATGTGTGACGATATAATGTGAATCTATTGGCTTTTGAATTATTATTAATGGCTTTCAGGTGTATGGTTGAATTGCTCGATCGGTATGAAATAATCTGTACAACGTCACGACTCTATGAACCATGCAAGCATACACGCATACAGTTTTAGGATAAAAGTTAGTCTCTTTTTACCAAAATTAAGACCAGTAAGTTGACATACGTAAGGATCGATCACGTACCAACCCAATTGTGACGACGCGAATCACTTCTGAACAATTGGGTGAATGAAACTCAACACTATTTACAAACTCTTCTGATTATGAAAGATCACTCAACATTGTGGATAGAAATATCTTGTGAAATCTTCTTCAACACTAAGGAGTACCTGCGAAAATCATTATCATGCGGAACTTCTACGAAGTGGTGAACTGCAAAGTCATTCATTGAGAGAAGCCCACAAGTTCATTTCAGGTGAGGAATGATGTTAGACGAGGATTCCTATTCTAGTCTCTTCTCTTTCTTTTAGTTGTCGACTAGATTTTGAGAATCACCACGTCTCTACAGAGTACAACACACAAATCGAACTCGACTTGTTGATCTGCACTATGGAGATGTCTTATTAACTCTATGATATGTACAACACCAAGTAAGAACAAAGATAACTAGTGCATAAGTGGTATAGTGAAATATCTTCGAGGTAATTTCTAAGGATTCGTGTATTACGTGTCCTGATAATATATTATGCTCATTTTTTATATACTTATTCAAAAAAACAATTTATTTTACTTATGAGCGTATATATATATTTATAAAAAAACCAATTTTTTTACAATCGCTTTTACGCTGTCGCAGGCGTATTAGTTTATTTACCTTTTTCCGCTCATCTTGTGTCCTTACGCAAGTACGAGTGTATTTTCGACATGCACTCACACGTTTTACTTTTCCTCTTTTCCAGGACGGCTGGAAAAGAACGACGAAGTTTCGCAAGGAACCGAAATTTTCATTGTACTATATTTCTTTATTGCTATGTTGTACATTTTGGTCCCATAGCTTAAGGAAAGACTACCAGACGCTGCTAAACGAAGCAAGCTATCAGAAGAGTGTTTACCAAAGACAAATTCGTTGGGTTTAAACTTCTGGCTGGTCACGTCTTAGGGGCATCACTACCTCACTAGGGGGGAGGAGTGATCTGTAGATGTAAATAATTCCCCAAAATCAATAGCTCATTAAGTGTTCGACATTGGATGCTGACCACGTTGTTTAAGTGGACTTGTTTAGCTGAAGGCTTTCGGTCATGTATCCGTACCAGATCACGTTTCAACTCGGCGTGGGACACAGCTCCTACGTTTCACTAGCCAGCTCATAAAAAAGGTCCTCGATATATTGGTAACGAATCAAATATATCTTTCCTGCCTATTCTCGTCTGACTTCTGACTTCTATCTGACTGGGAACGATCGAACATAGAAGGTGCTACTGGTAACTAGTTGTAAAATTAGAACATCCGTTGCATCCTCACCATTATTAGATAATCCCCGACGATAAATAAATTCCATAAGACAATACAAACCGTCTACTACAGTTTATTGTTGCACAGCTCAGATCACAAAACCACAAGTACACAAATTGAATTAGAGCGAGCGAATAAGGAGGGATAAAGGGGAGAATGATTGGATAGGAAAGCGTGTGAGTTATCGGGCGATTTAAACTAACAAGACGGATAAGTGTAGGCTGTAACCTGTGATCAAGCATGGGTCCTCATACTTAATTTACAATGGTAGGAAAAATATATGGACAGCCTGTTACTGCTCGAGTGATTAATAAGTTAACTGAAGAACTAAATGAAATTGAACTCAGTTGGGCTTGAGCGTAGGTTAGGAAATATAGTGGCTCTCTTCAAATTGTTACGCAGCAACCAAAAGGAAAGAAGCAAAATCCTGGATTTCAACATAACAGGCTTCACATAAACTAAACATAGTCGCGAAACTATAGATGCGGGGAAATACATTATTTGCTTGGGTTAGCATTATTGACGAACAAGAATGTCTTGATGCAAATGTCAATGCACAAATTGTCAAAGCAAGAGCAACATCACTACAATTACAGAATATTTGATACTCAAACAAACTGTCATCAGATTTAGAGTTTTTGAGACTAAATTTGAAGCGGTTCTATTGCATGTTATTCATTATAGAATCCATCGTAAACCTTGATGTAAGAAGACTTCTCTCCCACTATCTAGACGCGAATTCTATGGAGCAAACTTTTGTCCGTTATTTCTGCAAGACAATGTTTATAATTTAATTTAAAAGCTAAATTACATGACAGATGAAATAGGATGACTAATTGCTAGTTTTTAACTTAATAATAATCAATCACGAACTTGCAAATCTCTACTCAAGGCAATCTCTAAGTGTAAACATAGAACAAGAATATAGTTCGAATTCTATCACAACTTTAATCAGCGAAAAATTGACGCTGGAGTTCATTCGACGATGAAATGTGTGTATATTCTCGACTCAATTAACCCCCAACTAACGGAAAATGACCAAATAAATGCATTTATCCAACAAATCAATTATTAATTTAAGATCAAAAGACGTTTCAACCATACTATATTGCCAATGATGCACAACTCTAGAGTTAAAAAGCCTACGGATCCGTTTAGTTACATTAGATACAAAACTAGTTTAATAAAACAATACCTGGCGACAATGGGATGAAGAATATCACATCTGAGAAAGACGTTTTTTTGTTCTTTGAGAACAGTTCATAACAAATTTTATTCAAATATTAACCAACTCGTTGTACTCTAAAAAAGATATATTTTGCCTATTTCCGTAATGTTCACATTTTTCAAAAGTTTTGTATTAGTTTTGGCCATCTTTGATACTTGATTTATAACTTGTCACTCGCTGAGATACTCATAAATGATAGTTTTCACTTCGTTATCACCTAAACAGACTGCATATTGTAACGTTTTACTAGTTTTTTTTACCATGGCTGATTTTTGAACAACTTTAAAAGTAAGTATTTCTCCGAAATAAAAAGCTTTTCGTGCATTTTTAAATGTCATTGACTTCAGTTGTTTCAGTAGCAATTATTAGTGTTTGAAGATAACCTGTCACCTATTTTTCATTGACATAATCAAAGGCTTCTCTGCTCATGGGTAGCTGGCGGCGGCATTTGTGTCATGTAGTAATAGATGCTTGTTACAGCAGACGTGGTGACGCTAATCTGCTCTCCTGTGAATAATGCCCCTCAAGTCCTTCGTCAATCAGCAGAACAAGACGTTATTTTATTTGCTGGTGTATATTGGGAAAGATATTACTACTTGTGAAAAAGATAAAATCAACTCAGCAAGATCAAACAATTTTTTCCGGTGATAGACTATTAGATGAATATCATGAGCATGCCTGGTGACAGGAATAACAAGATATGTAAGTAGGCTGAAATGTTGGTATGTAATTTTCGTTCCATAGCTTCCAAATTACATCGTTGATAAACCAGTGTAGTTTGTGTTTATTCGCCACTGACATAATTTACTGTAGTTATGTTGCAGTGAAAGATAATCTGTCACTAGTCAACCGGGAAATTCGTTATAGTGTAAAACGTTAAATCACGAGTCTGCTATTTATCTATTTGTTTTGTGCAGTTGCCCATTTTTGCCCATTTGGACTTGTGCATAAGGAGTGAATAAGGATTAAGAACTCATATTTGGTGATCAAGTTGTCATAAAAATAAGTATTTCATATGCTCACTGAGCTTTTAATGAATGAATGAATATGATTTTTATTATAAGACACAAGTGTACAGAATCTTGGCATCATATTTTTAGCGCTACATTTGAAGAACACCAGACAATCCCAATTGAAATCCATGAAAGTCATCATGAACTTGTTGTGACATATTTTGATGGCGAGAAAGTGATTGGTGTAATGGAAACAATTATTATTATAACCAATTTTATCAGTGATTGTTTTACTGTATGTTTGTTTAAGTGTACGAAACGTAAACTTTCTCACATTGTCTGTAACCATGCACGAACTCGCATACTCTCGGCAGTCCCACTTGTAAGCTTTGACACAATCTCAGTATTCTTTTGATACCACGAGATCGACAAGAAATGTATCTTATTACAACCGTCAACTACTTCATAATTTTCGGCCTACGGAGGAATGCAACCTAATACCTAACACGTAATTGTTATAATTATTATTAATGGCTTTATTCAATATTATAATGTGGTACAATATAGAATTCTCAGCACGAGTTATTTCAACAAGTTTTTTTTTACAAAAAACAAACAAAAACAAACAAAAAAAGACAGAAATAAAAAAAAGGTTTAGGAAAAGCTAGCTTTATACAAATTATCGAATTTGAGACATGCTTAAGAATACAGGTTATTTACTAGGTCAACTCTAACAGCCTGTTCGTCACAAAGTAAATTTGCAAGGTAAGGTATTACAGAAATTTTATATATTTGCTTGCGTGCATGGATTTTAATGTAATCTTTATGTGATGGTGATCTTAGTATATCGCGACTCGATGCCTACCACAAACTATCATCACCATAACTAACGGAACTCCTGTGTGAGAAACCTAAGCTTTCAAAAATCCATCACAGTTGAATTGAATTGTAGTTAGCTCTACAGGAACACTTTTACCAGAAGGTTTATTAAGTGTCAGGTATTTGTCCCTTGTTCTCCTTTAATTGGTTGTTAGAGCATCGTTCGGATCCTAACTGTAACCAACCAAAAAGCGTGAGATCTCTGAATGGAATTCGAAGAATTCAATGGTCCTTTCAAGGACGCGTGTTAAGTGATGGGTCTCTATGTCATATGGTCTACAGGA